CTCCACTTCGCAAGCCTTATCACTCTCCAGGTGGGTTTGTTTGCTCCACATGTCTGATTGAGCGTGTTTCATTGTCATCTAGCCGAGTTGGTGTAATCGGCCCTAATGGCGCAGGCAAATCGACTTTGATCAAACTTCTGACGGCAAGAATAACGATTCGATCGATAGTATCCCCTTAATGACCTATTTACTTTCAGGGCGAGACCATTCCTCAAGAGGGAACTGTATACAAGCATCCAGCCCTTCGTGTTGGTTACGTTTCACAGCACGCCACCCACCACATAGGTACAATCTTATCTCCCACTTCAGCGTTTAATATACCGAACTAACATCACTTCAGAACGCCACTTGGAAAAGACGCCCATCGGCTATATTCAGTGGCGTTTCCAGGATGGTCACGATCGTACGTCTTTAAACCTAAAGCGTCCCTGTCAGACTCATTAATATAATTTGCTAATCATATCAGGTGAATTACTGGAAAAGGCCACTCGTGTTCTGACAGACGAAGAGAAGGAAATCCTCGATCAAGATTGGGTCGGCAGGAATGGCACCAAGCGCAAATTGGAGGTTAGTGTTACTTTGCACTGTCGATCTGATCCATATCCTAAAATTATACAGCTTATTATGGGACGTCAAAAATTGAAAAAGACATTCCAATATGAGGTCAAGTGGCGTGGTCTTGACCACAAGTTCAACACCTGGGTACCTCGTGATGAGTTGATGGCCAAAGGTTTCGTAAAGTTGGTGCAGCAATTTGACGATCTGGAATCCTCGAGAGAAGGTGCAGGCACGCGTGACACGTCTGCCCAACTTGTGCGCAAACATCTCGAAGACATCGGTCTCGATGGGGACATCGCGCAATATAATGAGATATCGGGATTATCGGGAGGTTTGTAATCAATTGTTGCGTTTGTTCCATCCCACTAACCTCCGACGTTGTTAGGGCAAAAAATCAAGTTGGTCATTGCGGCTTGCCTCTGGAATAATCCCCAGGTTCATTAGATGACTGGTTGTCATGATGATGTGCTGACGTTACTTTGTAGGTTTGCGTTCTTGACGAACCGAGTAATTTCTTAGATCGTGAAGCGCTGGGCGGTCTTGCGGTGGCCATCAAGGAATGGGGTGGTGCTGTGGTGAGCACTACGAAACGAGTACGAATTCTGATCCACAGCTGACATGGAGCGCCTTAGGTTATCATCTCACACAATCACGAATTTGTCTCGGCCTTGTGTCAGTCTTCCGATGTTGTATTTCACGTATTTTTTTTGATGCAGTCTTCTAGGTCCGGAAATATGGCAGATTGAAGCAGGGCGGATGACACATCAAGGAAAAGCCGCCGTTGTCGAGGATGCCTTTACCGACTTGAAGTCCCCGAAGGGCAGTGGTGCTAATACCCCAGCTCGTTCGCGGGTGCAGAGCCCGGCTGTTTCAGCTCATGTGACTCCTGCAGGGAGTGGAGCTGAAGATGCTGGCGCCACAAAGGTTGCCAAAAAGAAGAGGAAACTGACACGCAATCAAGTGAAGGCCCAAGAGGAACGCCGGAGGTTGAGAAAGCTCGCGTGGCTCACTCATGGTGGTCCACGGCCTGAGGACACCGACAGTGACGTTGACCCTTGAGATCGAGGGCCATGTGAATTTATCAGGGGCCATTTCATTCTGATCCGCGGATGCTTTTCGACAAGATCTCTTATAGATTACCTTCCTTGAGTCATACTGTGAAGTAATAGATTTTCCGTTTTGTCGCAAATTCGTTCAGCAGAATATTCAGAAGTTTCACTGCCACGTAGTGTAGGCGACAAAAAGCCGAGTCTGTAACCTTCTTGCAACGGCATACATGAGATAACCGTGCTCACACAGGTCCACGCTAGTGATCGCATTTCAACGTGTCGAGTGCTGGCGGTCTGGCATTTCAATGATCGTTGTCAAACTCGATGCCAATCCGATCATCGGGACATGTGTTCGAGGAGAAAATGTGTTGATTCAGAATTAGTGAAAAGCCGACTAACTAATAATATTACATTAACGGATTCAGACATCCAGTGACAATCATTATCCGGCAGAGTCCGGAGGTGCCCGGTGACCCGGCGTAATATTGGGATGAAAATGAAATTCATAATTGCCAACTTCGAGCTTCGACTCAATACATACTTATCTCTCCCCTTGTCTTTGTCCTGAAACCGATTAAAATAGCGCCATAGCTTCAGCTTCAAGCTTCAGCCGCGGACCGTCAGAAGTTTTTTTTCTTCATCAGAAGGACCCATGAGGGGTTCCTGCCCGAGTAACACTTGATCGACAAAACGGATTTCTTCTCGTGCGGTTCTTAAACTGTTACTGCATAAATATGTCAAGGAGAGACCCTGACCGTGGAGCTGGAAACAAGTCCTGGGATCGACGCGGCGTGACGAAGGTGCTTGCTGGACGGCTGGCGCCGCTGCCGCTGATGCGGCGGTGAACTCGTGCAACAATCCACAGCAAGCAGCCACATGACATCTTATCGATGGCATTCGTGCCGATGTGCTGTGGCAGCCTTTGTTGTATCTCACGTATTATCAGTAGAATCGTAAACCGAACATACTTAAAAAAGTCATGGCGTAATTCACGGCCTTCTAACCGCGGACATGTGTGACAAAATCGAGCAAGAACAAACGATGGGGTTTTTCGGACGTGTGCGTGTGATAAGACTAAACCTGAGCGAGGATAAGAACATGATAAGTACATAAAAAAACTACGGCGACAGTGCATCAAGGAGGCAGGTACATGTGGACGGATTGGAAAAGGGCATCAGATTGCGTGGGGTGATATGGATATATAAAATTCAATATGAATGGGTATTAAGGGGCTGGCGAGTAAGTTAATACGGTGATAATGAATGATCGAGGTCCTAATGCAAAAGGATGACGACGCTTCTGTTGTGATGAGGAGAGAATGAATCTAGCTGAAATGAAGGCATGATGCTTAGACAACGATCAAATATTCAGTAGCGACCAGGCTGCTGCCATTTGCGGGGATCTTCCTCGCGCCGATGGGGGATAGATGACCGACTTTCCTGTGCCACAGACCGGGCATCCTGACTCGATCGCGGTATGTATGATGTATGTGAAACAGATGTGGGGCTGATGCTGCCACCACCAAATGTATGCGACACCTCGTCTGCCTGAGAGGACATGCCGAATGGTTGATGAGGAGTCGACACTGCTGCCGATGACTGGCGGGTAGTCTGTCTCATTGATTGCCGTTTATTTTGAAACCTATGGAAAGGCATGAACATTGATCCTGTGATTTGTGCAATACACCAACCAGATCTGAACACTCCTGGCTGACATGTCTAATTTCTTGGCGAGCTCTGCGCGTTCTTCAGTAGAAGGGAACGCAGTGCGAGCGTAGGTTTCATTCAGGACTTTCAGCTGAGCTGCGTCAGCTCTCTTACGCTTTTTCTTGATGGCAGGTTGCTCATTGTCCATCATTTGAGCAGGCTCTTGTGTTAGTGCAGTGTTGGTGATCGGCCCTCTGGCATAGGGAGAGGGACCGTGGGCCTCGACATGCGCAGGTACACCCCGCTCGGATGGGTACATGCCGATGGACATCTGCTGCGAGTGATACATCGATGGCAGTTGATGGCGTGGATCAGGAACGGGGGGATACGAGTATGAGTTTTGATTTGGGTAAGGAGCATACTCGGTAGGATAGGTTGCGGTCGGCGAGCGAATATGATCGCCATAGTTGGAAACAAGAGGTGCGACTGTCCCGTAACTGCCCTGATATCTGTCGGGCATATTTAATGGAGGCAGTTTGCGAGAGCCGTGGGAATCGACCGGGATCGTCGGCGAACTGCGCGAGGGATAACTTGGGTATTGTTGGGTTTGAGGGTATCGGTCATAGTGTTGTTCATAACTAGAGTGCTGTGGGGTAACTGTTACCGCTTGAAGTAAGATTGATGAGCGTGCGATCGGCGTAGGTGATGTCAGACGTACCAGTAGGCCACTGACCATAGCTCGAGGAGCTATGATCACTTTTTCCAGGAGATGAACGTTGTTGCGAATAGGAAGAATAGTTGGGAACTATACTTGAGTTGAGCATATTTGCATTTACACTAGATAGAAAAACAGACCTGAAGAGGGTGAGGTTGGAAACGCTGAAGAAAGAGGAGGGAGCACAGTTCGCCCACCCTGTCCCGTCTGAAAAAAACCACTATTTTGAGAATCCCCTCCAGGAGGGCTTTTGCGGGCCTTTGAAAGGTTTGAGAACAAACGATCGTCCCTCGGGTTTGTCATAGTAAGTTAAGCAGATAGGCAAAAGAGGAAGTGAAGGAAAATTATGGTTCAATGAAAAGAAGAAATCGATGAGGATATAAGTATGAAGGAACACGCGCTGAGCATGCCAATTGCCCGACGAGCGAGCAAGAAAAGGCCTGCGGCACGGGAAGGCTGTGTGAGATGGATGAATCGATCAGGGCCGTTGAATGAACGAGGTAAACATGAACACCGGCAAAGGTAACTGAACACGAGGCGTAGATGTGCAAACTGGGCAAGGGGAGGTAGGATGAAGCGTGTTTTAAGTCTGCGGAATGAGGCTTTGTAGGTCGGGAGTAAGCTAGTTGGATTTGGGCGTTAAGGAATGAATGAATGATTTTAAGTTATAGTATCCCGAAGAGGGGATCATCCGGACTGTGTTATTGTATTTTTGAATAAACCAAACCTCGTAAGGAGACAATCTTCGCGGCCTTTCATTATTTTTCTGCTTCGAAAAATCCAAACGAGGAGACGGACCGTAATACAGCTCAAGGGAAGCACTGACGCGTTGGAAAAGCTGTGTTGCAACGCGGAAATTGCATTGTTGACATCAAATCCATCGAGATCAAGCCTCGTGGCCTTTTCTGGTGCGGACACCGAGTAAGTGTTTTTCCAAATATTATTATTTCCCACAAACGGCTAGCTCCGAATACCGACGGAGCACACCATCGTCAAGTTACGTTAAATCTGGAATGAAGGGGTATATGAATTGTTTAATCTAAGATCGACTCAACTTACTTCGCGGGTAAATTCAAGGCGTGACAATATCTGTCACACATGTAGCCTCAGACATGGCAGCATACTACAATGATACCTCCGATCTTGTTCCCCGGGTGTCTTATTACCGGCCTCCATACTCAACTCATCATGATTATGAGGGAATTCCACCTACAATCCTACCAGCAGGTACTTTACTACACAAAGGCTTCTATGATCTACTCGCCATGATCCCCACCCCCTCCCCATCCCGATTTCTCTGGGGTGGTGGTGGTGGATCTAACCAAGCTCTGCCTACAGACGGAGAGAGTCCACGTCATGAGGGCATCAATCCAAAATCCCGTCACATGCCTGGATCTTCTCCCCTAAAGAAGGGTAGAAGAGTCAGTAAAGCTATGGTCTCCAGGCCCACGGATTTCGTGTAGGTTATATTTTGGTATTCAGCGTCAACTACGTCCCAACATGGGTATTCGTAGGCATCTTGTTCACGCTTCGGATGCCGGTCAGGCAGAAGCCCTTTTGACTCGCTGGGGTCCAGATGGTTTGGGAAAGCTCGGAGGTCAGCCATCAGCGCATTATCCACTTATCTTATCGGTATCCTGAGCTCGCGGTTTAGACCCGCGTTGGGCAGATCCAATAAAGTCTCGAGTAAGGCAAACAAACCAGGCCAGGGCCGTTAACGAGGTCATCAATGCACTTAAACCGTCTCAAGATAGCGCAGGCCAGCCACCTCCCCTTAGAGTCATCAACGGCATGAGCACTACTACTTCGTCTACCATAACCACCGCTGCCCGTGAAAATGTCCACTTTTCACCCGCGGATGCCTTGCCGGGGCGCCCAGGAAATTCTACCATAAAATGGGGCGGAGGCCTCATAGCTCATCCAGAAGTCGGCGAATTCGATGATGACCTGAGCCTTACCCTTCCTGGCCCTTCACCAAGACCAATAACTCCATCATTGGCTACCTTGGAGAAGGCGGTGTCCGCCCGGATCTACTTTGAGAACCTTTACTTTCCCCTTCTTCGGCAGCCACCTTCTCGAGAACAGCGAAGAATTGCCATGGAAAAGGATATGGTTATCATGCACTTTAGCGAAGATCAGAAAGAAGCCTTACGTTCTCAGTGGCGCCAAAACGAAACAGAATATCTTCGCGAACGCCGAAGGAAAGTCGATGCCACAGCGTTCATCAAACTAAAAACCATAGGCCACGGTTGGTGTTCCTTATGTTCCTGAAAGAGCATTCTCATAGAAAACCCTATCCGATCAGGTGCATTTGGGGTTGTGTCCCTGGTCAAAGAGCGAGTCACGGGACAATTGTTTGCCATGAAACAGGTTCTTGTCCATTTTAATCTACCCATATGGTACTGTCTTGATATTAATTATTCATTTTACCAGCTAAGGAAGACTGATATGCTTCGCAAAGGGCAAGAAGGCCACGTCCGTGCAGAACGTGATATCTTGAAATCTGCCTCGCTCGTCGCTTCGCCCGGTGGCGCGGAGTGGATCGTGAAGCTGCACTACAGTTTTCAGGACCGCGATAATCTGTACTTGGTCAGTAGCTCTAACCCCGATATCCGCCATCTTCCCAAGAATGAGACGAGCACATGAGTCACTGATTTCATTTCGATTTCATATCTCGACACATAATAATAGGTATTGGAATTTATGGGCGGTGGGGATCTCCTGAATCTTTTGATCGAGAGAGACGTTTTTGAGGAAGACTTTGCTCGTTTCTATGTCGCTGAGGTTGGCATCTTCTTTTTCTCATACTACACTTTGTTGAACGACAGGCACATTTACCCCAGATGATTTTAGCCATCGAAACTTGTCATAAACATGGTTTCATTCATCGTGACATTAAACCTGATGTAAGTCTCGAAAAAAATATTGAGATTAAGGTCCGCTTTGGATTGATAACATGGTTATCCGTGCGTTTCTGGCAGAACTTCCTGTTTGATCCGCAAGGACACATTCGTCTAAGTGACTTCGGACTTGCGTGAGTAGGGGGAACATCAGCGGAACTGACCCACTTCCCCGTCCCCGTTTTCTATGTGCTAAATATGTAACCGACTCCACAGGACTGACCTGCACTGGGCCCATGATACTTCCTGTCAGTGCGGAACAGACTGAGTATACGGAACATGATACTGATTCGGCGGCCGCAGATTACGAACAACAGCGGCGTCAGTTGTTGCACAAGCACGGGATAGACCTTGAGGAAAGCAACGGCATCGGGGATGGAACCAGAACCAAACGAATGGACCGCAAGGATGTCGAATTACTGATGGGCGACGGCAACGGCCAAAGTGGTATATTCACTTGGCGAGAAAAAAATCGCAGGAAGGTATGATCGGCTACCAATTAAAAATTATATTTCCGCCTTGTGCCTCACCCTGTCTGTTGTAGCTAGCATACTCTGTGTAAGCAATAACCTCGCAGCCTACAGCGTGATTCTAAACATCCTTCTTCGGATCCATAGCTGCGGGACAAATTCTTACAGTATGTGGTCACCTTTGTCCATGTTATTACCCCATGTTGCCATGCTTACGCCTTCAATAGTGTCGCCAGAAGTCATCAGAGGCCTTGGCTACTCGTTTTCCTGTGACTGGTGGAGCTTAGGCGTTATCATGTTTGAATGCCTGTATGGGTAAGCTTCGGGGCTTCGTAATTCCGGTATACCGCGTGTTAAGGAATGGAAACTACCCAGATATCCCCCATTCGTTAGCAACTCCGTAAGCACACAAATTTTAGCACCCACTTTTCGCACCCCAGTTCATCTGTGGCTGACTGCGGGGGGCAGAGGCACGTCACCCGTCAGAAGATTCTGAACTGGAAGCAATCCCTCAAGTTCCCCTCTCGCCCTCGTGTCTCGGGTGAGGGGGTGAATCTGATGCAGCAACTCCTTTGTGAGCCTGAGGATCGCCTTGGAAGTCAGGCTCCAGCATCCGTATCGCGCCCAGGCTCCCTCGCCGTTCACGCACGACGCAGCGGCTTCATCCTGCCAGGGACTACGGTCGGCAGTGTTGATGGTGTAGATGCAATCAAGGTCTGCGCCACTGGAGCTTGCGTTCGCAGCTGCTGACGTCTCCACTTGAAGGCCCATCCCTGGTTCCGAGGAATAGACTGGGAAAATATACACCGCTATCCTGCACCATATCGTCCAGATTTGCAGAGCCCAGAAGATACACGACACTTCGACTCCGACATCCCACCAGTGGTGAGTGCTCCAAGGCGTTTCGTCATACCAGGTGTTCAGGTTGTTCCCAGCCGTTGGTTCCCGCAAACGGAGCGCCAGCAGATGCGACGAAAGACCCCCTACTCAGGGACAGGGTCCACGGGGAAGAAATTCTAAACGTCCGCAAGGCCCTCGCATTTGCGGGGTTCACGCACAAGAGCCCTCGAGCGATCAGTTACGCTCGTGCTGATCGTGCATTTGATGCACAAACGGATATTCCCGACCCAGAACGGGGCGAACGAGGTCGTCCACGGTTTCGCAGTGTACACGAGGCTGGCACAGGCCGGGCTATATCGCTTTAGTGTGGTGCATGTCCGGGGACCCTGACAGGGGTGGCTGTGTGTGGCGCCTCCACTTTGCCATGCGGCATCGTCGAGGCTATGACGACACATAGTCTACGGACATGACGTGAAGACATGTACTTGCTCCATAATGTGATTATTCATTGTACATGATTACTAGGATCTGCGGACATGACTCTAACATGCACTCATTTCATGATGCCACTATCACTGTACTTGTTGACTATGCTATACCCTTGTTTCCTTGCTGTCCACCGCCGCCGCCACCAGATCTGCTGTTTGCCGTTAACGGGTGGAGTGAGTCAATCATGTACTGCCACGAGTCCAACTCGAAGTAAATATATTTAAATGCCGGAAACCACTATTAATTAAACAGGACTGGATGCACCAGAGTATACTAGCGACAATGACTGTATATAATAAATATGTGAGTGACGAGTATAATGCTCATCAGCGAGTGCATGCGATAAATGGAATAGATAAATGCTCGTGAATTACTATAAATATGTGCCGCTCATCATGAACGACCGATGCAATGTCCGTGAAAAATGCAACGAAGATCATGAGGCCCGAAATAGGAGTGATTGCATACGCCAAGTATGCATCCGTGAGGACAACGCGTGTCGCACTAACGCCCGGAACGTGAATGTGCGTCATTTGACTCGTCGCTGTCCTCGTGATAGCGCCCCGAGGCATCGGCATGCACGCGAGCATGCCGACGCATGTTGCTGAGCACGCTGAAACTACGACCACAGCCCTCAAAAGTGCACGTAAAGGCTAGATAGGGAATTAGAATGATGAGAAACGCTGTGAACGGGCACTCACGCTTTTCACCGGTGTGACTATTCAGGTGGATCTTTGGTCGGCGGCCTTCATTAGCCTAAGAATGATGCAGGTTGTTCAAGTACACACCTTTAAACTACTTGGACGATTGAAACCTTTTCCGCAGTAGTCACACTCGTATTTGAGTGATGAAGACCCGGCATTGGCGTGAGGATTGGAGTCTTCTAAACTAGATGTGGTATCTTGTGATTCTCTACGGTAATGCTGACCTCGCATATCGGGGTAGCGTGGAACATAAGACGTCGATCCAGGGGGCTCCATCATGGATTGCCCAGAATACTGCTGCCTTGAATAATCCAGATATGAGCTTGGCCCTGGGTGGCTTGTATAATCATAGGCTGGTCGCCCCTGACCACTGTTAGAGGACGACCGAGAAAATTGGTTTTGTGGATGCTGAGAATGATACAATGAATGCGGTGGATGTTCATGAGAGGGATGGAGGTGTGTTGGGTGCGTTTCGTGTCGTGAACTACGAGAAGAAATAGGGTGGTAGGGTGTTGAAGGGTTTCTCTGGGAAAGTGATGATTATCAAGGTTTGATCTAGTCATTAGACGACGACTAACCTGCAAGCCTGGCCCTGATAGGGCATCTGACTGGCCCATATGGGGTGCAGAGTATGGGTCATGACCTGCATTGGGACCCGCCCAGGAAGGAGGTGGTATTACGGAAGGTCTCGGAGTACGAGATAATTCTGAAGGCTAAAGGTAAATAAAATGTACGGATGTGTGGAGCTGAAGAAGCTTGACTAACCTGGGAAAAGTTCACGAACAGAAGGGAGGGTTGGCCGAGCTGTCTCTCGATGGGTGTCACGCTCCGGATATGAGCGGTTAGACATTTTATGGTATGGGATACAAGGGGGAAAGTATACGAGAGGACGAGTTGAATTATAGTGAATGTCGGGGAATCTTATATGGTCGGCCGGATCGTCTCTAAACCGCGGTAACGGTAGGATACCGTTGCACGCTGATCGTGATGCGGCGGCTTCGGAAGAGGCTGGAAAGTACTTGCATGAAGAAACGTGACCGGGTCTATTCCATTATACTGCAGGACAGCACCTCGAGGGCAAACCTGACATTCAAAGACATGGTTACCACTCGGTTACCGTATTTTAAGGTAGGCAACCGTGGTGATTGTCGCTTTAGAGCTGCTGCGCACTCATTCACAACACATTTGTGGGAGTCTCGTGGACCCAAAAGAGCCGTTTGGACGGTGCCAGGGTTGGAGATAGAGCACCGCAATGTCACACACTAAGGGGCGCGAATGCCGCGCATCATCCACGGGGGATGTGCTGTTAGCATATCTAGAATATATATGTACCGTCACTTGCCGCATCTCAGATCAACTACAACGGATCATTCTATTGGGCCCACCCGTGTCCCTCTAAACACACCCCTGCTGAGAGACCTATTGCTGCTTGCTGAGTGCCAACGATTGAATCCTCGTCGGCAACATCTCGGGTAACGTTGGATCTCAAGATAGCTACAAATCGTCAACTTCAATTTCAACGTCTTTGCATCGGCAGGCAATGCGTCGCAACCAGTCTGGGCCATGCATCCCTAAACATGATTCGCATCTCACTGTGAAGCTCGCACGTTATTTATGAGCAGCCGTCGCTAATGTCGACGGTCCGGGTCAGAGAGCTTACCACAATTCGCCTCGCTCCTCCACATACACGATCAGTAGAATGACGTTGTGTTTATTCTCTCCCCTGTCAGTTTTCAGCTTGGTATCTCTGCGCTTCCTCCAAAGTCTTTGTGTTTAGCGATAGTGCGTGCAACCCTTGAGAAAATTCTTCAGAAAGGGCAGAGTATATCAGGCGATGGCGTTGCACCGTGTTCTGTGAAGAAATAAAGTAGATACACCCGAGATTGGATAGCACACGCACCTTCCCCTTGAAAGCATCTGAGATTACCTGCACGGCAAAATCTGCGCCCGGGTCGTCAATGAACAGCGTCTTTGGGGTAGTGGAGGGTACTTACGTGTCTCTCCATTCCCGCCACCTTGAGAGCGCATTGCGGCGTGATGCCTATGTAACTGCGATTCGTTGGTAATGATTAGTTTAGACGGTTGAAGCAAGGTCACGAGCTGTGAATGATTGCTCAGGAGCCTAATCGACTTGCACTGCTAGCTTGGTGTCTTACCTTTTCTCGCATGGCGATTTCTACCGGACCTGGAAATCCCAATATCGTGTCTGACGCCATGGTACGAGAAAGATTCAAGCGCTGCCGCAGAGCAATGCGAAGGCTGCGTGTTACCCAGAACATAAACCTGCTGGCTACCATGCTGAGATTGCAATCAGAGCTGCGCTGATGCTAACGGGCACTTACCACCAGACTCGGAGCAAAAAGGCAGAACGATAAAAATGCGCAGGTGTTCAATTTGGCAATTGTTAGTCCCTGTTGGTCAGCAAGCTAGTCCGTGAATGTGTGAAATCGCCACTTGACTAGTATCCCGGTGCCAGACTGGTCACGAGCCTGCCCTACAAACACGTACAACCAAAATGATCGAACCCTCACGATGACCTGAGGCCTGGTATTCACCAAATCGCGTCAGTCATAACTTGTCATTGCTAACCGTTAGGTACTCTCTTGCATAATGGTGAACACGTACACTGCGGTACACGGTCAGTCAGCATGACTGTTCGACGATAATGTCACAGCCATCGAACGACTGGCCATCAGAGAACCGATGAGTCCAAGTGACGACCGGATTTCCCATTAGCTTTCTCAGGAAAGACATCCCCATAGAATGGATAGGTACGTACGTATTAATACTACGCATGCTAGTGGCGACCGGTCCCTAAAGATCGGGCCCGACTCAAACAGTAATAGTGATCAAGAAACAGGTGAAGTGAGTGACAGTTGCATCCAGCAAGCCACCTATGCATCAGCTCTAACGGACCTGACAGTGCATGTCATGAATTTCCCAAAAACGCGATTGGACATGTATGAACCGCCGCATTCGTATTGACTACATTATTTGATAGGGCGTCCTTGCGACAGAATGATACGGTATTTGTCTTGCCACGTAGCGTTCGTTTCGAGGGCTGTGACTCTGCGCCTTACATAGCGCTGATGTATTTCATAGGACATATTCTTGTGTTATCGGTTCCGTTCCCGACACCCAACGTTACTGAGAGGACTCCATGGGGCCCTGTCGAACACAAAAATTTTATTACCGAAAAGATGTGCAAAGTTATGCTATTTTTTTTCCACGGCTCAAGTCGACTTTCACCGACTGACACACGTTCATACCGTCGGCTGAAAACTTGAAGCACTGGACTCTGTTGTGGTGAGCATGTCGGCTGGCCGAGAACGAGGCCGAGCCGATACGCTCACCGTTGGGGTATGCTAATCGGTGGTGAAGACAACGTAGTCTAGGATGGTGCACGAATTAGACCACAAATAACTGACCCATATCTTGAGCAAATCGCACGAGGCAAAACAAAATTAATTCAACGGGGAGCCGGGACGCAAGTACCGTTACGACTGTTTAGGCAAATTACTTTATCATGGCCTCATCGATGGTGTCCCTTGAAACTTGAAAGTCACGTTATCACTTTGTTATTGATGTCATACGTATTCACTTCACTACGAACATTGCAACCTCGCTATGGTGTCACGCTCCTCGTCGCATCAAGATCCCCAAGAATGTGAGATGACACGAAATCAATGTGGTCTAGTAGAAACGTGCTTTGAGGAGGGTCAATACGAGTCTGGCATCGCAGTGCTCGAACAGCTAAGGTCCGAAAACTCCAAGCCACCCGTGTAAGGTCATCTGGGCTCTCTTTTTTCGAGGAGCATTGAAAGTAGTTCCTAGGTCTCTTGTACGTCAGCTCTTCTACATCGCATTGTACCCCCCGCCGCCATCCCTCGATCATGTAGAAGAGCGCGATCCCAATCCTGCTTCACCGTCAAAAGGCTCCCCTACAAAACAAAAGCATCAGGCACCAAAAATGACATTTACTCCTTCAGTCAATGCATCAGAAGCCGCACAACGCTTGTTATTATCCTTCGTTAGAACAAATACACCTACATCTCTTTTCCAGGCTTTGCCACAGCCGCGCAGGAGCAACGAACTGTCATTCGAAGGTGATGATTATGACTCTGTTGTAGCAAAGGAGTCCCTGTGCATTAAGGACGCGAAGCACTGCTGGGCAATACTCAAGGAGGGTTTCGTACCGCGAATAAAAATCTTTCAGCCGTCCCTACTATCAGGGAAGAAGAAACGTGGAAAACTCATCATCGATACTGAAGAGTATGTAGAGGAGAATCGCAGCAATCTGGTTCTCGCTCCTGTGGCAGAGTATGCCTGGCTAGTCTTGCAGTGGCTGGTCGAGCTTTTTCATCGGGACGAATCTTTGGCATCTGGAGATGGTTCAGGTGGGAGGCCGTTTCTTAGTTGTAACCCTTTGACTAAGATAATGTGCAGTGAAGCATTCACCATTGTTGCTGTTGCAGATTCCCCCGCCGAGAAGTGGCACTGGACTTCGATGGGAAGTTGATGCACCCCTAGACATCGTGTTCTATTGCACTTCGCAAGGTCAACCGCAGCGACGACAGCTGGGTTTCGAACTGATGGCTTTGGTGAATTCTGCTTTTCTTATTACAAGCTATTCACCTGACGTTCTGTCCAGCTCATCGGAATTTGTCTAACAGCAGAATTTGACTTTAACATGTTTCTGGAGCAAGTCACGTCACGGCTACACTCAGCCTCCCCAGAGATCGTCCAGACCTTTATGTCTGGCTTCCATCTGTCGCATTCAGCGCAACTGTTCAAACTGGCGCTCTGCCGCAAATTCCTTTCGGATGAATCGGGTGGAAGGAATCTATCGAGCCGTCGCCCCAAGCCACAAGCACGAGCTGTGAGAGCAGCGCGAGGCATTGCCCGTGCGGGAGAGGAGAACCTGTCATCCTCCAGTGCAAATGACTTGTCAGCCTCCTTTTCTGCGAGTAAAATTTCTGCGCCTCCCACCGGCGACATCGTCCACCTTCTTACAGGGTCTAACGGACGTACTTCTCCTGCAATTCTAACTGTGAAGAAGGAGCTTCTGATTTCCTACGCCTACCTGCAGCAGATCGCGGAGCGACGGGACGTGGAATGGCAGCAAATAACAACAGATGGGCGTCTCGAAGACCAAGTCAATTTGGTGTTTGGTGGAGAGAGTTATGCTCAGCAAGACAAAGATGCCCTAATTAGTCTTGTGAGAGTCTGCGCCATGAATTAATGCGAGTAAGGCATAATTGGCATAAGCCAATGTCTTGTGGGATTTTCCTCCACGGAGCGTGTTATTCGTCGAGTGCCTCCTGCTGTATGACGATGTGAAATTACTCACCCAGGTCAGTAACAAGATTATTCATACCCCCCATGACAATAGTCAGTGCTATGTATGCGTCCAGATTCTAGAAAGTCGACATACCCTGCGGTCGGCGGCCTCAGACTGATGAGATGGATGCAATACTCTTAATTTCTGCTCTAATCTTGAGAAGCTTACATACAGTCCTCTGTCAAACAATTTTCTCATGGGCTATCATTTACCTGCACTTGAAGGTTGGACTTACTTTGGAGTAATTAAATATGAGGTGGTCTGCAACCGAATTTCTGCTTGGGTGTTATGGAGATCTTATGCAATTCGAAGAACAAGAGTTACGACCCTCACGCACATGGACGTGGAACATAACGTATTCGTATTTCGACGCGTTCTGATGACATTAGGATAAAGCATAAGCGTATTATCGTATGCGAGGCATCTGTACTGAGTATTGCAATGATAACCTGAAAGGGTGTGGCTATGTAGTTAACGAGTAAGACGTGAAGTTTCATGCGACGTCGAAGTTCCGGTCCGAGGATTGAGTCATAGCCCAAGAGATAATATGAGAAGTCCGACGATGTCAGTCCAGTGGACACCCGAATTCTTGGCCTACTTACAAGGGATCTCCACGTTGAGGTGGCAAATTGGGGAGATAGGGGATAATATCAATGCAGCAGAGGAACCATTCGCGCAGGGCAGGAACAGCCAGTACGTACTAAGACGTCAATACGCGTTCTATCACCGGGAGTAGGCACGGATGGCATTCAGATTTGCGCGATGTCGAAAGGTACGTTTCAAATACGAAAATGATTGGACCCAATGGGAATGCATTGTCCCTGCAAAGGGTCGCAACCGACCGTGACAGCTGTGGTAATCATGGAAGTCAGCCTTGCAAGGAACGTCAGTGGTCTGTTGTAAGAAGGTTTGCGAATACCCAGAGAAGGCTCATTAACGCGGAGATAGTGGGGTATCCCTTCCGAATCAGGTTAGTCAAGATTTGTGGTAGGGTGAAAGTTCTTCGGGCGTAAGGTTTTGGCAGTATAGTGGACGCAGCCATCAGGGACAGTGATTAAACGGAGCGGGTGTGCCAGATCTTTGACAAAGCTCTGAGTGACTGAGTCACACCTGTGATTGATAGTAGACAGATATATTGTGAGCAACAATATCTTCTGGTGATTGCACCTCGATGTTTTCTTGTAAGCGTGACATGTGTGCTAGCCGATCCAATGGTTGCCCATACCTCTCAAGTTTTAGGCATTAACGTACGTGTGCTACAGAGTGAGATGTGAAGACGTCGAGGAAGAGGATAATTCACCAGCCCACGTGCCAACACAAACCGTGGTAGTCGGACATGAACAGACTAGCCACTGATTAGTGTGAGTGACTAGAATGAGCTTTATTGGTGTAGTTCACCTTTGCTTTTCTTGGAGGGAAGAAGTTTCGATTAGCTTTGATTCAGAGGGGAGCGTCAATCTGTTTCCATGAGGATGGAACGCGATACTGTCATGCTGGAGTTACCAGGAGATTAAGGATGAGATGTAGATGCGACTAACTGCTACGCGTCCAAACCTTGGTTCTCTGGCATGGCTTTGCTGCTGCAAACGCATACCATATACAGGGACGTGACAAGGATCTGTCAATATTTCAATGGTTATTGATTATCGATTATCACCTACGTAACGTTAGTAAACTTTGAGGCCTTGGGCCTTACGAGACACGGAATGCCGTTTGACAAAGTTCGATGTTCAACTTTGGAGTATGGAGAACCAATGGAAAACCACTGGGAAACCTGTTAGAAACACTCGTGCGACATATAGTCTCCGGTTGACCGGTCAGATCTCAGACTTAATCCAAACCGTCGGTGTGTTGGACGATCTTATATCTTATTACGACACATCATACAAACCAAATACAAGCATGTCACCACAAATACGCCGTAACTTCGGGAATTGTTGTTCAAGCACTGCAGGGTACAATTGTATAATGTAGCATGCCGACGGGCGAACCACCTTTCGACTGAATTGCGTGTTGGAAATGGTCAGCGAATAGTATATTCAGAATAAATAATTAGAAGCATATGCTGGCATGGTGCCAAGGTTTAAATTCTTTCTTCTGGATTCTGATTTATATTTTATTGTTCCAATGTCGGACTGTATTACTGTACGCTGTCTGGGATTTGCTCCGTATGTACCCTATCGTATGTTTATCGTATGTAAAGCTGGTGCGTGGTGCGAAGTCTTTGCAAGCGGGAATATCCAAAAGCCTGATTAAAAAGAAAGTTAACCTAAACCCTTTAGGTTTGGAGTCAACCATCCGACTCTCCTGCTCCTCCTACGACCCACTCTGGCTCTGGCTCTACATCAACTAAATCACCATCATCGGCGTCGCCCGCAGTGGCCTTGGATTTCCCCTGTTGGTCTTTCCATATCTGAGCCAGAAAATCTGTAGTGCTGGCTTGCTCCGGCGATTTATCTTCTCGGGTCTTGATAAATCGCGGGAACCTTAGACTAAGGCCCCTCGAGGAGGAACATAGGCCCGATGCTGCTAGAGATACGGGGCTCAAAGTGATACTGAAAAAATAGGGTGAGTAGATATCCGTCTGTAACATTGACGGCTTGTAGCAGACTCACTCTGCCCCTCGTATCTCCCACACCTCATGAGGCCTGAAGTAAACGTCGGGCCTGAAGCCTGGAAAAAAAATCAGCCAGGAACCCTAGAGCTCAAAAATAATGTCGGCACCTCCTGTATTGGTTTCCCAGAGGGGTTTCCCAGAGCAATTATCGGACCCCTCTGAGTAATGTGCAACCATCTCCTGATACGAAAGGTGCAATGAGTAAGTAGCCTGCGAAGACGTACTGCATGACAAACTTTGTAAAACAAATCGGAAAATCCTTGCGGCAAATGATAGTTCAACATATCATTATGAATTACAATGTATATCACTTACCGGACATACACTTGCAAACGGCAACAAAGTAGTCATTCCTGGGATCTCGAACAGCAAGCAAAACTGGACTCCACCACCCTGCTTTCCTTCCGTTCCCATGCCACGCTCCAATAGGAACCATATCGAGAGTATCCCCGAGACCCACAACGTAGTCCTTTTTCAGCTTCAACCAAGCAGATGTTCGTTTATCTGTCCAAATTCACTAAAAGCACAGCATAATGGAACGGCTCAATACACACCGGGTTCGTAAGTTGCGGATAAAGGTTTCCGCTTTCCGTTTCCTTTCTGCGTTCCGTCTTCTTGCATAGCGTCACTACTTAACAGCTAGGTAAGCATTAGTAATGCCGATCAGCCAATCAGAGTTCAAACACCGTCTCACCTTGATCATGAGACCCTCAGTGTGGCTCTCTACAGCTTTCTGCCAAAACTCCTCGATAGCATCTTTGCCAGCCTCGCTCTCACAGCTTTCAACGTGGTCGAGACGACCTGCTCCCTTGTCGCTTGGTGAGAAAGGTGGAAAGCGAGACCTCAGCAGAGAGCGCCTCTCTCGAAAGGGCTGTGCAAGCAAGACCTGCCGAAGGACGTAAATAACCATCGAATGGCATTGTCGGCACACAACCAGACGCACGCACCTCACCATCTAGATACATCAGATCAAAGGCATATACGCAAACAGAAACTTTGATATCGCTCATTTCCACGTCCTTCCTTGCCCTATTCGAGAGCTCTTGGAATGACTTTAGGCCGCCGTCGGATGGATCTATAGCGCAATCTCAGAGTCGATAATAAAAGATTGCAGCTGCGGCTGCTCTTTGAAAATGCATCTAACAAGGTGAACGATGTCGGGGTACTAGTTTTTGCCGATAAGATAGGAGCCCCGTGCCTACGAAAGTGCACAGCTCACCTTGGTGGTCATATCTTCTAGATGACGAGAGAAAATGTGAATGGAAGGATTGTCGTTATTCACTCCTCGTACCCCATGAATCTGAGCGCGTTGACCATCATACTTGAATTCCACCGCAAAGGGAAGATCTCCCAAACGGTCGTATATTTCATCCAATGATCGAGTGGGAGAACCCAGAGCCGGATGCAAGGGAATTCCTATCAGTGATTTGTTAGGTCGTTCATGGGGCGGGGGAGCGAAATGCGCACCGACGGTCAAAGGAACATGTAGGTCAAGATTATCCAATCCGCCGTTGAAGAGACCAGCTACAATGTGTTCATAGTTCGGATGTTGAACGAACACTTTTTTAACCAACGCTTCAGCCTGGATGAATTTCTCATGAAGTTTCTCGCGGGCACCATCAGGGACCTTCTTCCCTTCAGCTGCGAGAGGTTGAACCAAGGAGATTAATTTTGAGGTGGCATGGTATGGCGAATGATCGCGATCGGGACCTCCCAGACTAGTTTGGGATGTCAAAACCAATGCTCTTGCCAGTGCAGTCAGGATGGAGGTCCTGACTGCCCCGACACGTAGATTCAGCGATAAGGTACGGACAAGGTAGCGCGACTCTTCTCCTTTAGCTGCTACAAGGAGTTTCTCGACGATAGCTTGCTTCTGTTTGGCTGCGCCTTGTCCCTTACAGTTGGCAATTTTCAATAAGCATTCGTACACAGCCGCTATGATTAGCGGAGGATGAGGCACCAAGGTGCGAACATTTGACTTTACTTCAAATGCAACATCACCAGGGTCTCCGAATGAATTGTAGAGCCGCCTAAGCGCAGAGGAGGTCAGGCCGGAGATATGTTGAATTGCCTTGGATATAACCGAGGAGCCAATGCCTAGCTCGACCGGAGAGTACGGAGGAGACAAGCAATTAGAAAGGAGGTATAGCGATGGCAGTAGGGATGGCCGATGCCAATTGAGCAAAGTCCTTAGCATGTTGGTAAGCGTGTTGAGAATGATTGTCCTAGATCGTGTCCCTGATAGCGTGACGAGGGCATGGACGAGGAACGAATATGGCGCCGGCTCATTGACTGGCCAAGGATTTTCCTGGACATCATAGACAAAAAGGTCGACTCCTAGTGGCTGATAATTTGGCAAGACAGCGATGTCATTTTTCATGGGAACACGCCTTGAAGGCGTATTAGGACTACTAGGTAGGACAGCCCCTGATGAACCACCAACGTCGCTGACTTGAGGAGCTGCAGCAGAAAGACCATTAATATTGTTAGATCCATAATTTCCGGGCGTAGGTTCAGAATCCGAAGTCAGGTCAATGATGTCTGGTGTAGCAATCTCCTTTGCGTTCAGTTGCTTCCGTACTGGTTCTGTGACATTGTTCCTTCCCTTCTCTGCCCCAGAATTGGCCGGAGTGAGCCTTGGAGAAGATCCAAAAAAAGCTTTCAATGATGACTGATCTGAAGCGAATTTTGCTCGCTTAGGCTGAGACGTTGATGGCGACGCTTGGGCGCGTTTAGACATAGCGGCTGTAGCTTGAATGCATTGACGTTCGATTGACATCCGACAAGCAATTTCCGACAAATTTGTTCAAATATGATTACTGTTATGTACCCTTATGTATCAAGTGTTCCCACCTCATGCTCCTGTCAAATTTCAGTCCTCCCTGCATTCTGTCACTGATGGGCGGCAGGTCCTCCTGCATTGCCCTACCCATGTCATTAATCAAAGCACACGATCATCGGTCTTTCTTTTGTGAGTAGTAATAAGGACAGTTAAATGTTTTATCAGATAGTATGACCGTATCAAGTATGTCAACAATAAATGTCAAGAGATACGTACAGTCATTTTAGGGTCAATGATGCCCACATAGCTGACCCTGCACAGTCCGACCTCTTCGCGCCACCATGTCACCATCCGTGCGCTAGATTCGGAGGGTCTTTGTGGTTGGGAGATGAAAGACCATATTAGCAAATTATTACATCTTGCTCATGTCTACTCTCAAACGGGTGCCTGGTCATTATCTCTTTTGACACAGACAAACCTGCAGGTGAGAGTCTAAGACGATGTCCATTGTGCAAATATAGTGCTATGAAACTTAGAACGTTGGGTCCGTGAACACGCGGAGTTGAAAACCCAAGCTTCCGGGTCTTGCACTTATCTTGAATTCATGACATTGGAGCCTCGAGAGTACAGGGCATTAGAATCACGTGAGTGAAAGTCACCTCGCGCAGCACGGTCCGATCAGTACTTAGGAGCTGGGAATATCGTCGAGATTAGAACAAGGCTATGCTATGACATTTCTTAACATCTGATGAATAGTACTCAGATCAGCGAATCCAAAAACACGATGCGTTGACCAGACCAGTCTGGGCGGGAGCAGACCCGGGTCTCCCATGAGTCGCCGGTTTCGATGAGCAAATAAGGTTGAGGTCGTTCAGGAGGTCCTTGAATTGCTGCTATTACAACCCTGGCTGTGGGTGACCCCACAGCTCCATGGATCGGACAGCGTACCTGATTAATCCTGCAGATTCTGCAACAGAAATTCTTCGCAAATGAAGCTTGGAAAAACCGGGTGATTCTAAGTTTGGTTAGACAGGAATCATTCAGGCATCTCTAGAGGGTCTGGTTGCCAGCCTGAGAGCCGGTTCAGGACGGTAACCTTACAGTCAGGCACGTGAAGAGCGTCAATCTCGTCTGGACAGACGTAGCAAGATCTGTGAGGACCACAATTACGCCGTTAGGTCTGTCACTGACGGAGACGCGGCAATGTTACCGTACACTCACAAATTTGGGCGGCTCCGAAAATGCATATGAACCCTGTGTTTGTCTTGACATTTGCCCCACATCGAATCCTGCTCAGTCAAGCCACGAACATCATGAGCGACCGCCACAACTACACATTCAACCCCAATCAGCCACCACGTCACCCTAATCAGCCGCTACGGGGCAGCCAATGGCTACCCAACGGTCAGCAGCAGCAGCAGCATCAACAGCAACAGCAGCCCCCTCATCAATCATCTTCTTATCAACAAGTTCAGCGTGGCTTCCCGGCGGCACCAAGCAACTATATGTCCACGCACCCTACTTCATCTTCACCATATGCAATGCCTACCATGCCACCATCAAGCACACAATACACAACAAACAATCATGCCGCTGCACGATCACAACCCTACCACCCAAATGTTGCTGTTAGTCCATACAATCAACAACAGATGTATCCATCACAAGCATACCCCATGCGCCAGCCGGCTCATTCGCCGAATCAGACGTATCCACCAGCCGGACCTTCGCGCAGCCATACAGTACCGAACGTCACGCAGCCATACGTTATTGATGGGCCGCCGATAGCACCAGCAGTGCAATACCCAGCATCCCCTACACGACCATTCTCATGCGACATGTGTGCTCTGTCGTTTAACCGGCAACATGATTTGAAGCGACACAGAGACACACACTCGGGAGAGAAACCGTTTTTGTGCAACGGAGGCTGTGGAAAGACATTCACAAGGAAAGATGCACTGAAAAGGCACCAGGTACCATTGAATTTGTCCCCCTGGAAGATCATGATCTCATTCATTTGATCAGCTTGTAAAGCATTGTGGATATGACGAAGATGCAAATTGAAATGGCGTTGTTTTGGCCCTTTTGTTAGTAACTTGCTTTGTGCCGTGTTGCAAAGCTAACTTGATAATATAGAATCATCAATCGCTCGATTGCAATTTACTCCACATACTAATATCATATTGGACATTGATGCTGGAAATTTGTACTGGAAGGAATGATTGGCATAGTGAAACTGCAATGTAACACGTTAACATATTTATGGGTTCGTTAAATGAAAGTTACCATTTACAGCATGGTCAGATATCGTAGCAGTGGTTGCAATTTCACAATTGAAGCTTCTCCTGGTCCTGTTTGTCTTCAGATTCAATGATCCTTTCTAATATCCACGCATCGCGTGGCATAATCTTCTTGTAGTAGTCCTCTTTGATGCCCACTTCTTTGAAGCCGTGTCTCTCGTAGAACTTCTTGGCATCAGTGTTCGAGACTTGTACGTGAAGGTATATACGTCTGATTTTGGGTTTGGAATGAGAGGCAGCTGCCTTAATAACGCGTTTCAGGGCCTGAGAGCCAAGCTGTTTGGAGCGATATGGCTGGAAGGGTTTGCATGTTTGCCACGACTGACAGCGGGATAACTTACTGCCAGGACGCCCATAGTCATGAGATACAGATCTTTGTTCTCTAATCTGCAGCAGATGTTGCCCACAGGGACATCGTTATAATAGACTTAAAGAAGTTAGGCTGGTCTGTAAACGCCTGCAAGAATAGGACGGACTGAGCTGGCAGAAGTCTTCGACCTCGGGAGCTATGATATCCTGGTAGAACTTGTCGCTGTACTTGATGGGAAACAAGACCGAATTGAGTTTCTTGACCGTCCCAAGGTTTCTATGAGTCAAGTACGCAAAAGTGACACGTGAAGACGAAGATGGAGCAGGTGGATTTGACATGAAGACGGCAGATTATTTTGGTAGTGGCCTACTCGGAAGAAATCAAGTTGTTCGGACCAAAGCAACTCATCCAACACTCGTGGGAACATTCCCCATTAGGATTCATCCATAAGTCCTTAAAGCTGCCACTATCTCAAACAAGGTTATACTTAACTCAAATTTGTTTAGCATACCCTTGTGGTCCCCCCATGACACGTTTCCGAACTGAGAGTCGCGCAAGCATTCTGGGTGTATATACAAATTGCCGATGAGCCAGCATGAGCCAATGATCGTCTCACTTGCTTGACACCGGACATTTACGAACACGCCAGGGCTCACCAGGGTCTCCCAAGACCCTCGAAATAAACGGGACAGGCCCTTCTGGAAATAGGCTCATCCGTATACGTTGGCGCTCGGAGACCTTCAGTCAAGTTCATTTTGTACGTACGTACGTATTATTAACTAAATATTTTGAACTGATCGGACAACCCATTATCTGCGCCCACTATATCTCAACGCACTCATGTTTTTTGCAATACCTTCATCTTGGCGGTAAGTGCAACGTTGTCATGGGATTGGATCAGCTGCGTATTCTTGCCAGATTAGAGAAGCGCAGCTAAAACAGTGCTCGGTCAGATACTTCTCCGTTTGGCTGTGACTCGTGCAAATTATAGCTCCATGACCCTCGGGGATTACTGATACTCCATAACGCTGTATCCTTTCGCCCTGTTATTATGTCGATTTCAAGTTCCCTTTCTGTTCCGTCATTGTGTCTATCCAGCCAATTGATTGTAGCCATCAATCCCTCCTGTTTCGCTCTCATGCCTTACGTCCACTGAGCCCAGACATAACTTATATTATAAAACAGGCACATTGCCGCCGGCTTATCAGCAGCATGTCGTCGCTCATTATAGGATGACATGCTCCGAAAATCAGGGCTAGAACCTTGCATCCATGCGCAATCCGCATCACTCCATAATCCATCTTACGATGATTTTTCCTTGCTGACCTCGGGAATTTTCATGACGAAGCCCCTTTTTTCAAGTCAGCGATTTCCGCACATTTTGCTTTGTGGCGCGTGGCCACTAGCTCCCATTTTTGAGATACTTCAGTATTTGTCTTCGTTGGCGTTAACACACTGCCTTGTCCAGACCCTGATGACAGGTGATTTTACTTATCTCTGAACGCTGGAGATAACTGGGAGCACTAGTCCGTCACTGATAACGCAGTTGTTCGGACGATTTTCTTCTGGTCCAATTATGCGGTTCTTTGCATGGACGGGCCAACATGTATCCTTCTGTTGCCAAAATGAATTTGGTACCCACTTACCAAGTGCAGATCAAAGAGCCTTTTAGGTATGACTTTTCAAACGGGAACTATTCTGATAGCAAAAATTGTTCACGCAGCCTATCGCAATTTTCAAAGATATAGAATGACGTTTCTATCGCACGCAACATCGGCATTTGTCAGTCTTCATAATGCAGGAGATGCCGGGAATGGTATGGTGTGATCACGAGCGCGAAATTCAGTTTATGGCTACATGTGTGGATCGCCGATTGAGTGTGGGCCGGGAATAGTCGCCCATCGACTCAGGATCATACTTGCCTTCTTTCGTTGATGTTTCAATCTGATACACACTGGCGACTACCTCCTAATAGTTCTGCGCTATAGAAGCAAGTCCCTGGAGGCCAGGAGATGATCACATCTTTGAATTTTCACGGTGCATTCCGATGGCGTATATGAGATACAGTAGTAGTACAGATGCAATATTTATTTGTGGACAGAAGGTAAATATTTTTTATATAAGAAACCTCATGCTAAGGGGGACTTGACCGATGCGATGGTGACATGGATCAGCGAAGATCTATGGGAGAGTCGGGTACGTGTGCACGAAGTTTTCGAGGAGAACGATGTAGTTGATCAATATAGACGTCATCATAGCTGCGAAAAACGCATGTGCCTTGGTCATGATCCGTCATGGTGGCCCATACGCAATGCCACATCTGGTCTTCAAAGAAGCGGAATGCAACTCCGGTATGATTCTGGTCCCACCGTTGTTCCCTCTCTCTCGACTCGAATGCCTTGTCTGTCAAGGTTATGAGAGCGCAATCTTTGATTGTCCACTCTACGTGCGCTTGCCCTGTGGTGAGAAGCTGCTCTAGAGACGAGTCCATTTCAAGTTCTTTTGGAAGACCTCTTCCAGGTACATTGTTGAGGATCTGTCGGCACGAGGGGAGATGAATAGACACACCTATGAACGGGGTCATAACCATCAACAAGAATTTGAAATGTAGTGTTGTCCGAGAAGTCCAGGGTTAAAGTAGGATGTTTTGAAGAACGGGTGAGTTTCGTTAGTACCTTTGCCGACTAGAAGACACGGATCCACCCCAAGGCTTTGTAGCCGTAGGGGCACTGGACGACGACGGGATTTCGAGGGAGATGGTAGGGGGGAAGTGCATAAGGCTTTGGCTTGGTTGGGAGATGATGCCAACATTGTTACCAGTGATGATAGTACAATTTTAAAAAAATGTTGCAAGGTCTTATACTGTCGTCGCTGTGGACGATGACAATGGCACATATGTAGCCACATGTGATGTGTCCACAAGCGATTGATCGATCACACCACAACAAGCGTAAGCGGGGATAAAAATGAGAAAAAGATGACACTGACGAGATTCGAACTCGCGAGGTTTCCCATCACGGATTGGCACTTGACCTAAACGTGACGCCGTAACCACTTGGCTACAGTGCCATGTTCATACTTTGTTTCCTATGCAATATATTATGTTGGATAAGATTAAACACTATTGTGATGGGCAAGACTCTCACTGACTACGCTTTGTTAGCGCGTCGTTTGTCGTCACTCAGCAATGCATCAGACGCATTCTCGTCCTATCGGACCACGCACCCTTCCCCGGCCACAATCGCCACTACCACCGCTCAACCTAACAGAGACTCGTCCGTTGGCCATTCGCAAAATAACCCATGATCAGCCAACTTTACACCCTTCATCTGTTTCATCATCTCCCCCCCCATTGGGCTCTTCTCCAGGTCCATCGCGTCCCCAGATTCCTGGAGCTCTTGGTCCAGGCCCAAGGCCCAATCAAAGACCCAAGCTTCATCTGCCAATCGCACTTGATGGTGGTAGTAGCAGTGCAGGTTATTATGAAGGTCCTGCAATCATCCCACCTGGATTGGATGGTGAGAACCCAGGCGGCGCAACAGTTCGGCCTTTCTTGACTTTACAAACACCACGTCCTCCCGAGCCTATCGACGGTAGCGATAACAGCATTGCTCAGCTAATTGCTGAATTTGACAGGACTACCATCGAGTCCTATACCTATACGCCTACAGAAGAGACTTCGACCAATTATAGCTCTAATAAATGGTCGGACGGTGTTTTAGAAGTCCTTTCACGACTTGGCGAAGGCCAGGGTGGAGCTGTCCATAAAGTCAGAGATCGACGTAACAACTTCATCTTGGCCCGCAAGACAATTACCACTCGCGAGGCGCCTTTAAAACAGCTCGAACGCGAGTTGACAATTTCTGCGACGTCCAAACACCACAACATAATCCGTTTCTATGGCGCCTATATGTCACCATCGTCTAGTGAAGTCAAAGTCATGATGGAATATTGCGCTGGCCGTAGCTTGGAAGCCGTCGGAAAGCGAATCAAAGAGAAGAACGCGCGTGTCAGCGAAAAAGTCGCTGGGCGTATAGCCGAAGGGGTAATTACTGAAGCTTCTTTTGATTTCAGCCATATTCATTTATTCACCAGGTTTTGCAAGGCCTGAGCTATCTTCATTCGCTCAAAACCATCCATCGGGACATCAAACCATCTAATATCTTGCTAACTGGTGAAGGTGTCGTTCGTCTTTGTGATTTTGGTGTCTCTGGAGAGCTTGTCCGCTCTATGGCCGGAACCTTTACTGGCACTAGTTTCTACATGGCTGTGCGTCTGTTGCTTGATTATGCATTCATCATCACTGATGGTCACTATAGCCGGAACGCATCAGCGGAAAGGAATATAGCATTCGAGCTGACGTGTGGTCCACTGGAATCACCCTCTTGGAACTTGTACAGAATCGATACCCATTTCCCGAAGACCTTACTTCCATTGAACTGATTGTCTATATCACCCAGGGACAGGTAGGCACTTAGAGTCTGTTGTTGAATTCTGCTTACATCAGAATAACTCTCCAGCCGCCTCAACTGACCGATGAAGAAGGTGATAACATTGTGTGGAGTGATGAGATGAAAGATTTTATTCGACAGACGTAAGCTCTCGCCCAGTCCCCTTTTGCGTATCGTCGTATCAACGTTCACCGCAGCTTGATTATTGACCATCAAATTCGCCCTACACCGGGAGGAATGTTGTCTCATCCTTGGATCACTACCGTCATGAGGCGAGAAGTGCCTATGGCTCGCTGGATCAGTCAAGTGTGGGACTGGCCTAAACAAACTAGAGAAGCGTAAGATTGTTTGACCTAGGTACCGATGGCTACTAACACTGATATTCAAGCAATTCGAGACCGCCTTCAAGCCGCGGTGCTGTTGACAGAACACCATAGATTCCTTTTTTCACTCAAAATGCTTCGTTGTTACCCTGATATATCTTGTTTCTTCATCGCATCCCCTTCGTCACTGTGCCTATTTTGTACACACCACTTGCACCGCTCTCTGTACATCTTTCCATCATACAGCTACTATACCATCGCACAGCACAGAAAGGAACGGACTCCGATTACATGCTTGATTGATGTTGTATATCTGTGTTATTAACTCATGTGCACATTGTAGCTTGCTTTTTGCAGTTTAACGTGCCGCATACCCAACCTTGTCTGCTTAAGCACACCCCTTTACTCTTGTGGTTAGTACCATCTGCCGGTGTGCGTTGGTTGCAAACGTTTGTGCGTTTATGTGTGCGCCTGCTCGCAATTTACTTCCTGTTTCTTTACTCCTCTTCAGTTGTGTCAGATGCCGGCCAACTGTTTCAATGTATGAGACCTTCGCATTCCTTTGTTCACAGTCCATCAAATAGCTAGGTTCTAGGTGGGTACATCGCTGTGTAATGTCCCAAGCTTAATTCAAACTCTAATCATCCCGATCATGTGTGTGATACCAATTTATGCTCAAAACGAGCCGTCGCCAGACCTGGCAGATTGGCATTGGCGAGGGATTCTGACGGCCAGCGAAATGCAGTATGACGTTTGGCTTCATTTGGGTATCAGTGAGGTGGGTCTTTTTCATTCGCAGGATTATGCTACTTATTGAAGGCGGGATTCAGATCAGGCTTATCTTGAACGATTCGGGTCCTGTCAACCTGTTCCGCCTCGTCATCAATCCCCAGAGCTTTTCCCAATCTGTGGAAAATCCATTCCATATTTCGTGCCTCTTTCGCAACCGGCTCTGTGAGCGCCATGGTTTCTGCTGGTTTGTTTCAATGTCTTGGACTCATCTGTAATCTCGTGCTGTTTGCTCCGACATCTGCCCGAAGGCACTTATTGACGCGCTCGTCATCGTCAAGACAGCCAGATAAATGTGACAGATACACAGCTCCCTATCCATTCCACCTTTCGTTCGAAGAAGGACGGAGTCCTCAGGTATTCGTATCATTTCCAAGTAGGATCCTTAAGTTAGTGTGCGCTGCGGTTGCGTCTTACCAGAATCAACCAACGCTTTGTCTACGCCTGTCGGCATTCGACCAGAAGTGTATGCCTTCGTTGGCGCATTTATCCTATCGTCTGAGCTGCATCCGGGCAGCAAACTTCAGGACACTCACAAGAACGAGCCAAGCTAATACAGCTACTGATGATTCACTTGTTCCGACCTGGTGGATGTGATTGTGAAAGCTGTTCGTCGTACGAACTGATATTTGCAGGCGAGGATGGGCAGTTTACGAGACACAAGATCCGATCCCTCAAGACGAATACCACGCTCGTCTTGAAGGCAAAATAGAAGAAGGCGATCTGGAATGCACAGACCCAAATATCATATACTAGTCAGATTGTAGTCACGTTCTCCTTCATCGAGGATCTAGTGACAGGCCATCCCTGACGCACTGTAACTGGGTGGAGTGCTGGGCAAGATCTCTTTCGGTAATATATTGAGGTACGTGCTCTTTCTTCTCGTCTTGTGGTATTTATAATACTTCTCCAGGATACAGAGTTCATGGAAGGGCGTTTCATCTGCTTGTCGAGAACTGTGATATTTTCCAGGTAGGCCCTTTTTCATGCCATTTCCAGCCGCCTGCTGATTCGTTCCCCACTGCAGGAATTGCACGATACATCCACCTTTATGGGTTTCTCTCATGCTTTCCTAACTTCCTCCCGCGACAAGTCTCTCAAAGCTTCTACACTAAACTTCAGTTTCATTTCGAGCACAGACCCGAATCATGAGTGAATGCGCTTTCACGTAGATGGCAAACAAACATTTGAAAATTGTTTCTCGACATGAAGAGAATTATCAATCATGCATTATGCTTGCAAAGCCTCCATCCGCTCTCGAATATCACTTGCCCAATATTTAACCATCCCGATGGTCTACATTGGAAAGCAACCTATCGCAGGTACTTGTCTATGATGTTCGTCTCCTGCCAAAACTCTACATATGGTTTTCTGATGGAACATTGCAGAAAAACACCTTGTAGCATACGCCTGCAGTGATCTCGTCGCTGGTAGAGACTGCTGCGCTGCCACTGGGGCATGCTATTCTCTTTGACAAACGACGCGCATATCATCAACTGATTCCCCAGACTTAAAGGCAGTCGGGAAGACATCACAATGATCGCTGACCACTTGAACTGGCAGAAATGTTCTCGATTGGGACAACTGGGAGGCATAGTCTCCCTAGCTTTTCCTGCGAGGCAACGTTCACCGATCTGTACTGCAACTTCTCGACTGGTTTGTCGAATAAGGAGAGGATCATGTTGATGCCTTGATCACACGAACCATGATGAAGCAAGATGTAATACTAGGATGAACATGCTGTTTTTACAAGGCGAAAGGTAACTCGAGGTTAAGTACTGAATCAAGGCCCGGCAGCATTCGATGCATGGCCCTCAGTGACTTGTCATAACTACAGGAACCTCTAGTCTCCAGGTATGTAACGGCCCACTCAACCGTATGAACTCATTCATGCCATGGGTCAGTAACCGCGTACCGACATCTTTTCCATCCATATTCCGGCATACTAAACCAATATCGAGGAGGATGACGAGTTCATCGCTTGTCACCACACCTTTCACATCGATCCCGCTTATCACGATACACCCATTGTACGTTTCTATTTTACATACACAATCACTTATCGATACACGTTTCGTTCTCCGCCTTAACTCGTTTTGATAGTCTCTCCGTATGATATAGTTTCTCCTCGGTCTTTCCAACTAGGGATGAAGTGAGCATACTTATTTCACGTCTACCTACATGTACCTAACGATACATAGTTCTTCTCTCGTTTCTAGGTATGCATGTGTCGTAGTATAGTCTTTCCAACTAAGACCGAGTTCTTCATTTCTAGAACAAGCCTATTCCATTCGTCATACCGCTTACGGGGTATGCCACGTTTGTGGAGCAAACTGCAAGGACGCCAAAGACTGGTGGTGTGCTTATGAGCATGGACCTGGAGAGCGATGTCATGAAAGAGCTTGCTAGTGCGTTGTGGGAGATCGTCGATGGGTACGAGAACGACAGGATGAAGGGAACGACTGAGAAACGTTATCTTATTCGGAGATAGTAGACCGCGGCAACCCGAATAGCTTCGTCGTCCTGCAGTGTTTCAAACAGCTAACAACCATCATGATAAAAACGCAAAAGGAAATCTATGTTGGGACATAACTGGTCCTAAGGGAAGTCGTTGGAGTCGGGACTCGGTGCGAGAGCATAGTACTGTTACGATTGAAATATCAGTAAACAACTTTGAAGAAGCGGTCAAGCGCAAGCTCAGTAAAATCACCAGTGTCCGATTCACCATGATCGCCAGGCCACGGCGGTCATAGTATGCATGTTATAGGATCCTGATGTGGGGGACTTTGTGGGTGTTACAGTTTCACTTCTTTCCTTTCACATCGTCACTTATTCACAATTACTAATCATTCTTAGACATTCTATCATATTCTATCATACAATTCTCTTTTCTCTTTTCTGATTCATCATTTACATTCTATCTCTGATTCATTTATTAAAGCTCCGCTTTAACTCCTTTATATATACTCTATCTCTTATGCTTGTATTCTTTAACTTGACCTATGCAGACCAGGGCCTGCAATATACTGCTTAACTTGCACGACTCGTACATAGGTGTACGCTAAGATCATTTGTTTTTGTCTAGTTGTTCTCACGAACACCAAGCATAACAAAAGGTCAAGTTACTTTCTACCCTACGGTTCCTTTGAACTCATAGCCAGAACAGAACCCCAGGAACTCCTTCCTTTGTGAAATTCACAAGGAACGAGTGGAACCCAGACACCATACCACCAATTGCCCTGACCCCTCCCAGCTTTACCTGGGACGAAGAAGAACAAGAGTTCTTTCAGATTGATGCCAAGGGCACCAGATACTCCATTGACCAGTGGGCTGCCTATTATGCTAGCATAGCACCCAAGAACAAAGTTTGGAACTTCCATACCCAAACCTACGAATGATCCCTATCCGCAGAAATGCCTAAAGAAATCGGAAAGACCCCCTCACCCTTCAATGGCAATACCTGCCTTGCTCAGGGATGGATGCTTCAGGTCGAAGCATACCTAGACATGAATGAAGAAGTATACGATAACGATAAGAAGAAAGTTATCTTCGCCCTCAGCCTTATGACCAAAGGTGAGGCTGTGAAATGGGCCGAAGGCCAACTTAAGGCTGCCGTCGCAGCAAAGTCTTATGGAACCTGGGAAGGTTTCACTAAGCAATTCAAATCCACCTTTTTCCCCAAGAACGTCAAACAAACCGCTATCCGACGAATCTCCACCCTCCGACAGACCGGAAGCATAGCTGCTTATGCATCACTTTTCCGAACCATCCTAGCCGATACTGGCATTTCTGAAGAGAACACCAAGATCATGTTCTTCAGGAATGGGCTAAAGCATGAGATAGTCTCTGCTATTTATGCCTTCGAAATGACCCCCAGCACCATTGAATCTTGGCTAGAGAAAGCCTTAGACATTGAGGTCCGAAGGACCTTAATAGCACCTCCATCCTATACCAAGGCGAAAGACCCCTATGCCATGGATATAGATAAAGTAGAGATAGACGATGAAGAAACTGAAAAGAAGATGAGGAAGACTTATCTTACTCCTCAAGAACGGGAGCATAGGCATAAGGGCGGCCTCTGCTTCAAATGCGGTAAGAAGGGCTTAGCTGCAGACTGCCCTAACCATCCCATGGTTACGACCAACAACAGAAAGGTAATCAAGGAATCATCTGATGACAATTACAAGGAATTCCAAGAGTGGAAGGCGTTTAAAGCGCACCAGATGAAGAAAGCCAGAAAGAAACTGGTTAAGAAAGAAGAGAGTAGCAATGAAGAGGATTTTGCTTAGGGGAGCCTGCCAGTGTCAGAAACTCCCAGAATCGGACTAGTAGTACAATCTGTTGGCAATATTAACTCTATTCATTTGCCGTTAACCATCAGATCAAAAAAGACCAAAAAAACCACCGTAGCCGCTGCTCTAATTGATTGCGGCGCAGAAGGCGAATTCATCGATGAGAAGTTCATACTCAAAGAAAATATTCGCATGCACAAACTTGAAAACCCAATACCTGTGCATAACGTAGACGGCACGTTAAATAAAGCCGGAAGAATCACACGGTACTGTGAACTCTCCTTTTTAATCAAAGATATCCCTATGAGGAAGCGATTCTTTGTAACCTCTCTAGGAGGAGAAGACACTATCCTGGGAATGACTTGGCTAAAAAAGGAAAACCCAGATATCGATTGGACTAATCAAGAAGTCCGCCTAAGGGAGCGTACCCTGAAGAAAGCACTCATCACAGAAATAGAAGAAGAAGACATCTTTTATGATGCTCTAGAAGAACTTGAACCAGAGTGGGATCCTGCTAACGAAACTCTCCCACATCTTTTAGATCCCATCAACGATGATGACGATTTCTACACCTACATCCGAAAAACCAACAACATCTCCCAAACACTCGCCCAGGACGCCGCCAAACCAAAGAAAACCTTCGAGGAACTCGTTCCCGAAGAATTCCAACAATATAAGGATGTATTTGGTGATGTAGCTAATGGCACTCTTCCTCCAGAATGCAAATATGACCACAAGATCAACCTCAAGGAATCTTTTGAACCACTGAAATGCAAAATCTACCCACTCAATGCCAAAGAAGATAAGGCAATGAATGATTTTATTGATGAACATCTAGCAAAAGGAACGATCGTTCCTTCCGAATCCCCACAATCATCTCCATTCTTCTTTGTCAGGAAGAAAGACGGTTCCCTCCGACCATGCCAGGATTATTGCTACTTGAACGAACACATGGTTAAGAATAACTATCCTTTACTGCTAATCTCAGATCTTATAGATAAGCTAAAGGACGCCAAGATATTCACCAAGATGGACATTTGATGGGGATATAATAATGTACAGATGAGAAAATCTGATCAATGGAAGGCGGCTTTCGCCACTTCCAGAGGACTTTTTGAACCCACGGTCATGTTCTTCGGAATGTGCAATTCACCCACTACCTTTCAATCAATGATGAACGACTTGTTTGGAGATATGATACAGGAGGGGTGGATCATTATTTACATGGATGATATACTAATCTTCTCTAAAGACGATGAAACCCATCGCATCCGAACTCACAAAGTTCTACAATGACTATGCAACAACCTCCTCCACCTGAAACCCAAAAAATGCACCTTCAATGTGACCGACATTGAATACCTCGGCATGATCATCAAACCCGGTTCTATCACCATGGACCCCACCAAATTAAAGGGTATATCTGAATGGAAGACTCCCACGAAAGTAAAGGAAGTCCAGTCATTCCTCGGATTTGCTAACTTCTACTGACGGTTTATTGCTGATTATTCTTCAATTGCCAGACCTTTGATCGACCTTACCAAGAAAGACGAAGAATTCTCTTGGACATACGAACGTGAGGAAGCTTTTAATAAGCTGAAGCATATCTTCACCTCTTCACCCATCCTTCAAATTCCCGACAAAAATTCCCCTTTTGCCATCGCCACTGACGCCTCGCTATACGCCACCGGCGCAGTACTTCTTCAAAAGAATGATAACGGAGACTGGCTCCCATGTTCCTTTTTATCTCAATTGTTTAACCTGGCTGAACGTAATTATCAGATCTATGATTGAGAATTACTTGCAATCGTCCGTGCTTTGAAAGCATGGAGACATTATCTCCTCGGTTCCCCTTTCCCCGTAACCATACAAACTGATCATAAGAACCTTACTTATTTTAGGGACGTCCAAGACCTTAACCGACGCCAAGCAAGATGGCAAACTTTCCTTTCCCAGTTCAAACTCCTGATCCAGCACATACCTGGAAAAGAACTTATTATTCCAGACCTTCTTTCCCATAGAACGGATCACCTTCCGGTTGATAGTGACGAAAAGGACAATATTAGTATACAACTCCTACCCAACTCAATGTTTATCAACGTGATTGACACTTCGTTTACAGACAGATTATGCATTTCTTCCTCTATTGACCCCGTAGTACATACAGCGCTTCAAGCACTTACAGACCCTTCTATTCCTCCCCCGCTCCGTTCCGCTCTTTCCAATTGGAAATTGAGCGATGGAATTCTTTCTTTCAAAGGACTTACTTACATACCCCCCAGAGATCTCCGACAAGAACTCACCTCCCTACATCACGACTCCCCCACCGCTGGACACCCTGGACACTTTAAAACCCAGGAACTCCTATCTCGCGATTATTGGTGGCCTGGACTAGCCACATTCATTAAGAATTTCGTAGAAGGCTGTTGCATCTGCCAACAGAATAAAGTAAACACACACCCTTCTACTCCACCACTCTTCCCTATCCCAGCTCCTATTTCCAACCGACCCTTTGCTCACTGCTCGGTAGATCTTATCACAGACTTACCTCTTTCAGACGGATTCGATTCTATTATGGTCGTGGTCGACCACAGACTTTTGAAGGGGGTAATTTTCACCCCTTGTCTCAAAACTATTGACGCTGAAGGCGTCGTGAACATTTTCTTTTCTAAAGTATTCTCTAGATACAGACTTTACGATAAAATTATATCTGACCGCGGACCTCAGTTCACTTCCCAATTCCAGGTTGAACTCGGAAAACTCCTCAGATACAAGAACTCCCTCTCCACTGCCTTTCATCCTCAGAGTGATGGAGAAACTGAACGAGTTAATCAAGAACTCAAAGTTTACCTCCAGATCTTCTGCGCTAATGACCAGACCAGTTGGGCACCCATGTTACCACTCGCTGAATTCATCCATAATTCGCGCCACCATTCTGCACGTGGTACATCCCCTTTCTATCTTATGATGGGCTATCACCCACGACATCTTCCTGACTTCCATCCTAAATCCGACATCCCTAATATTGAACAACGACTTTCTTTGCTTAATAAAGCACGTGATGAAGCACTAGCCGCTCATGAACTTGCATGAAACACGATGTGTCAATGAATTACGTCCAAATTCATACCATTCTCTAAAGGCGATAAAGTCTGGCTCGAGGCCAAGAATCTACACCTCGGATACCCTAATCATAAACTCGCTCCTAAACAAGAAGGACCATTTACTATTATTGAAGTACTATCCCCTATAACTTACCAACTCACTTTACCCACGCAATGGCGCATTCACCCTGTTTTCCACGCTGCACTCCTTTCTCCTTATAAAGAGAATGATACCCATGGCCTAAACTATATTCCGCCTCCTCCTGACTTAGTCGATGGCGAAGAAGAACACGAAGTTGAAGCGGTCATCAGACACTGCAGATCTTCATCCAGGAGACAGTATTATGTAAAATGGAAGGGATTCCTGAGTTCTGAGAACGAGTGGATGAAGGAAGCCGAACTAGGTAATGCTTCCAAACTTCTTACTAAATATAAACGATCGCATTGTCTCCTTTGATAGTAGTCGGTGCCTACTACCCTTACAACGGGGGTAATGTTACAGTTTCACTTCTTTTCCTTTCACATCGTTACTTATTCACAATTACTAATCATTCTTAGACATTCTATCATATTCTATTGTATGATTCTCTTTTCTCTTTTCTGATTCATCATTTACATTCTATCTCTGATTCATTTATTAAAGCTCCACTTTAACTCCTTTATATATACTCTATCTCTTATGCTTGTATTCTTTAACTTGACCTACGCAGACCAGGGCCTGCAATATACTGCTTAACTTGCATGACTCATACATAGGTGTACGCTAAGATCATTTGTTTTCATCTAGTTGTTCTCACGAACACCAAGCATAACAGTGGGCACTCTTGTGCAGTTGTGTAAGTGGTGAAAACAAGGGGGAAAAACGTATGCTTGATTGCAAACAGATAGTGTTTTTTCGGACGAAAGCCGGGAATGGGCAAGCCGAGCCCGATAGTGGCCCCGACCCGCGCAAAAGTGAGCCGAGGTGAGCTGCGACTCCCACACCAATAGGAGTGAACACGACACAGCGAAGTGAAACTCGGATCCCCGAATCATAGGAGCTGCAAAGCGATGCATCGAGGTGAAGCTAGATGAGGAGATAGTTTGCAACGAAAGTAGAAAGAAAGCGTCCGCGTGAGCATGATTGCAGGCATCCGCGTCAGTGCGGGTATCTGCGTCAATGCATGCGGATGATCCGGATACATGCATCTGCATCAGTGCAGGCATCCACGAAAGTGCGTGAATTCACATGTGCACGACAGCAGGTGTTGACAAAACGATGCTTTTGCTCGTCACTGGCAGAAGGTGTCGTGGTGACTGAGTGGATGATTCCTGAGTCCTCCCCTTATCAGGTTGTCTGGTGAGAAACCTGACGAGAGTTCACAACAGTGAACTTCCTACACGAGTAGAGTTGAGAGAACAGTGCTCTCTACTCATGGCCGGCTTCCCCGCCGGACTTGCCTTCACTGCATGCAGATGCACACAAGAATCCGAGCCATCAGAGCTCACTAGAGTTTGTGGCAGAAAAGGAAATCCAAAGGCAGCAGGCTGCAGGCATGACGCCAGAGCTTGCTGGGGTGTCACAGCCTGGGCGCTGTGTGGTGGGCGGAGAACAGAAGCCACGTGCTGCCGCACAGTGACCACTGTACGAAGTCCTTATTCCGACTCTAACCCTACACCCATGCCCGCTCCGGGTTAGAACTCCAAACAGTGGTGATTCGGAAGACTAGGTCAATATCAACCCGAGGGTGCTGAGAATAGGTCTGGAATTTACTGGTGAGCCACTTGGGGTGGCGGTGGTCCCGTTGACGACTAAACAGATAGTCATTGCTTCTGTACTAGTAGGCTCTGTGTTCACTGGCGATACTTACTGTGCCTCAATATTTTGATCCATCAGTTTTTTTTCCGCGTCGAGCGCCACGATAGTAGAGAGTTCTGCAAACCAAGTTTGTCTCCTTCAGATAAGTTGATGCCACCAGCAACGCAAGCAAAGCTTTACCAATCTGGCGAAGCACTACGCAACGAAGTTGTATGCGGGCAATTGAGCTGCGTTGAGAAACCTTCTGAACCCAGATATGCTAGTCCATCACATCCCTTGCAATGTGCCCCGAAGAGTTGGTGACCATCAAAGAAGCCTTTCCCAAATCACTTTGACAACTTCTCAATCATTCCTCTATTCCACGTGTCACTGTCTTAGTAATTAGGATACCAAAAATTAAAATTGCTATCTTACCGTGCCATGACTGGCCGTGGCCGTCCCTTCCCAGAACAGCCCGAGCGTTACATTCGTGTTGGACTGTTGAAAAAAGGAGCCCAGTGAGTCGAGAACATCACACTAAAGCACGCATTTACTTACGGCCAGTCCCAGCCACCGTCTATGATGTCTCTCAGAAGTTCAGGGCTCAACACGAAATCTCTATGAAAAAAGGAGACAAATCAGATGGGCATGGTTTACGACAAACATTGAGACAAAACGAACCTGAAGGCTGTCACAGGTATTCTCGGTGTCTTTGTCGGCCTCGCCGTCTACTGCTGATACCCCACCGCTGCCTCGTTGGCAGTAACAGCTAAAGCTACGCCATTGGGGATGACGTTGTGCTCATCCTGATATTCAATAAGTTCCTCGTTATGTAGGGTCGAGGTCCGACGTCGCGAACATGCCATCCTAATTAGGACAACTTGGTACTGCCCTCTGTCACGTAGAAACATTCCAGACCCTTTTGAACTGCCAACCACACTTGGTGCTCGCCATAAGCACTAATTAGGTTGGCTTGAGAGTGACCTTCGCGGCCAGCCTACAGTTCTATAGACTCCTTCGACATACACATCGCATATCTCATATTGAGCCCCTCGGAAAACCTTATTAGCTGCGATAGTTGTCGCAACTTGAAGCGCTCCGTCACGCTCTCCTCGTGCAACGCAGCCTCGGCTTGATTGTAGTACGCCTCCTGTGCTCATCGAAGCCTCAAGTGATCATCAGACCAACATACACGCTTCCAGATACACCAGCCAGTCACACGACGGCGAGAGCAACATCATCTTACTTCTAGCATGATGGTGTAACTTCCGGGCGGGCAAGTCTCAGAAATCACATCATTCTATTGATTGTGACTCATAACAGGAAGTAACACCGGTCGTTTGTCTATGTTGGTCTGTAGCCGAGGTTGATGCATCTGATGTGCTAGCTGCGAATGATCAGGTCACTCAAGTATCATGTTGATATCGATGTGTACATTTTGCTCACCCGATTCGGTTTTCACGACAAGTGTACCCTAAAACGCGTTGTTGAAGCACTATAAAACGTCAGGAACGTGGCGTTACAGTGCAAAGCTTGTAATTTTACAGAATTGGGCACGTTGCCCGACGCGCGCTCGCATGCCTTTTCGGACTGGCGCAGATTGCGCCTTTTTCCACCCCGATTAGGCATGGGCAATATAAATTCTGTAGAACATTTGCCACCTATTCGTTTATCATGCATGGAACTTTCTTGTGTGCCCGGATCAGTCAATTTAATGGTGGCTTTGATTTCCATTTTCAACCTCGAGTTCAGGGAACACCCTGATCATTTTGCAATTTACCACATAGATTTTCAGGGTCGTTATGCTTCGAACACAGTCCAGTCGAAAACAGTTGCAAGTACGGGAGTTAGGGCCACACACCGCGGGCAACTTGTAAAGCACCCTAGACACGATGTGATGAAAAACACGCTACTTGAATCACTGTTGAAGACGTCAATATGACACACAATTTGCTCACTTAATATGACCATAAACCCTGAAGAATGAATATCAAGTTCACGAACCTCAGGGCTGTTACTTACCATCCATCAGGTGTTCTGACGCGACTCACAAGCCAGCGTGCATAATTTCGTTATCATATTACAGCCATCTGACCAGAAATGTGGCTCTCAGGGAGACAGCTGGAGACAATGCGAACAAACTTACCAACGTTCAGGTATTCCCCTGTAGCAGGAATTTCGTGGTTTGATGTGACCAGACCGCGTCATTGCCGCGTCACAAGCTCAGCACATTCAGTTTTCAGGGCTATCATAATACGTCAATTCGCTCCTAGTAAACCTTGATCTAATCGCTTCCAGAACGATGCTAGAATTCATTATATCATCCTTTTGATAATCGAATTTATGCACTCACCTGAGGGGCATTATTCATCTGAGAGTAAGGTGCAATATGCCTTTAACTTTTCCGAGCTTTTGCGCTAGCTCGATAAATCGATGGTGCGCACATGGATCCTGCGATGGTTTGTTATGAAAGGTCAACTGTGCTTTTATCATACCTGAGTGTTGTCTTTCCTTGTGACAAAGTGAACATTCGAAAACTATACGACTGTTTCCAGCTTATCCACATTCCAACATAAGTCCGTAATGGGTCACAGCAGAACTGCACCGGTGCCAATCGGTCGGAAACACTTCTAAAACGCCGCGATGCAGGTTCGGAATTAGTTACACGAGGATGTTCCCATGTGTTTAAAAGGTACTGGATACGCACTATTGCCTCTGGGCCCACTGTGGAATACGAGAGAATACAAGTTCCTCCAGCGTTCTGGTAAATGAGGTAATTCATGGATGTATTCCGCACAGAAGATTTAGTGCCCTCATCAACTTGTGGGATCCACGTACTAGTAGGGCGCGGGAAATGAACGAGATCAACTGTGCAAAAGGTAAAATACAATGACCCTCAAACGTGGGCGACGACCGAAAACATACTCGGGCTAAGTAGCAGGAACAAACACGTGAGACACCCCAAATATGTGTTCGGAGGATGTAAGAGTGCGTGATTCATCGAGTCTGCGCTTGGAATTTCCACGACGCTGTGCAGATTATTACAGTGGTATACCACCACTCAATCTGAGGAAGCATGGAAAATGGTCATTTCTCTGCTGCTGGCTATGCAGGCTGCGGAAGGGTTCAATTCTAGGCTGCCGCGGGGCTTACCTGTAATATAATACACTGCCAAAAACTCAGCAGCAGGTGTTGCCTTCAGTTCCGACCATTGAACCCGACTGATTCAGTCCTTTGGCAAAGGCGCATCGAGGGTTCTCATCCAACATTAGGGAAATGTATATATATACACTCGCTTTTTGTCCGAGATAATGACATAAGACGATCGAACGATTTAGCGATTTAACGGGGCATCATCCGTCTATCAACGACACGGCGAGGAAGCTGCCAATGAAGTTCTGGCCTCTACACCTTGAAATTTGAAAGCTTGCGGGGTTATGCAAGTCTGTGCCAGCTTCGAATTCATGGAAATGAGTGCGCTAATTTAGGCAAGTCTTCGACTCCTCGTCGCATCACACCAAGAACACCGAACAGCGCATCAGTCGCAGGATCAGATCCTGGAGGCCGATCCAGACCAAGCAGAAATTAGAAGCGACAACTAGATTCTTAGAGGGGATGTCCAAAATGATGCTCAAATATCAATGTCATGACGGATCTTTAAGAAAAATCAAAGGGAAACATGAATCTTATGGGTATCTAGGGTGATGATCATTAGATGAATGTGCCACCAAATGCCTCTCCTGGGGGTGTGGGAACTGAACCAGACACCAAACATTCAGCACAGGAAGGACAACAATCCACGGAATACGTACAAAAGGATCCATGGGGTTTACACCTGGCATCATAGGCTGGCTCCAATGCTGAGGGGGTGGTTGGTGGTTCATAGGTCGCATATTAACATGGTGCTGAGAGTGATGAGGGGGAATGTGTCGTGAGGAAGTTGCTGAATGTAATTGAGTGGCTGGGGTAGCGTACGCAGAGTCGTATCGATGAGGAGGGTATGGCTGCATCTCGGATATCATTGATAAAACATTGGAATTCTGATTTGGATGCACGGGGTAACCTTGCGGAGCCCTGTATATTTGTTACGATAGAACGAAATTAAAAAGAACTTCCAGACTCACAGCTGACGTCGCGCAGCATCGGGTTCTGGCCCGAGCCTGAGATGAGGGTCTTCCTCGTATTTCACTTGAGGTACGGGAGCAAAAAGATCACTGAAACACAGGTTTTGGTCGGTAAATAAAACGTATAATAAAAGATGCACATGCCTATGCCGACGTGACATCGGAGGTTGGTTGTAATCGCTAGATACGCGAGCTTTCGCAGGTGTACTGTCCCGAGTAGGAGGTGTTGAAGTCTCTGACAGTCCCGATGAGTCGGCAGTGGATGGGCGCCCGTCGACACTATCTTTCCGAGATGTTGATTTCTTGCGGGTGGGAACACCTTCTGGCCATGTGCACTGAGCGACTGTTAGTTAATTTTTTTTTTGCAGATTGCAAGACGAGGCGCACGTCTCGCTGCCCATGAGTACATCGCATGCAATTAGGTTTCGCCTCGTCACACTGAGTTGGATGAATATCATGTTCGAGTTGAAGTATATGGAGTGGCATACCTTGATTTTTTTGACTCGACATGTCATACAGCCAGTCTTGCTTCTTGTATACTTGGGACGCTTCCTTTGTTGTGGCTCTTGGCGTTGCTGGGGCGGTATAATATGAGCATGCCCAGGAGTATGAGCAGAAGGAGGATAATAAGGTGCTGGGGGAATGTAAGCGTTAGGGGCGGAAGAGCTGTTAAAAAAGTGTTCAATGAGAATAAAAGCAAACATAAGGACATGTTGACTGACTATGCCATGCCTTCAGTCATACGATGAATAGGAAGTATGGGAGGTAGATTTTCGTGAGGAAGATCCTTCATCGTTTTATACTAAATCTTGTTCGAAGTGAGAAGCAGAGAAGGGTGGAAAATGGACGGGGACACCATTGTCACGGACCCGGGAAATCGGTCTAAATCACTAAAATTCTGATCTAAGGGTCGTGGATGGATCGTAAGTGCATTTTAAGACTGCCATAACAAATTTCGTTAAGGAAGGTGGGGGTTTTTTTAATCAATTTCCACACATCATTGGCGCATCATGTTTCTTTGCGTATTTTAAAAAAGGTGGGAAAATTCTGAAAAAAAAAAACGAGGAGCAGATTGAAGGATACACGGGCGATCTCCTACATAAATCACGATAGCAAGGGTTGTTCATTGAAATAATATTAATGGTTTTGAGGCGTTGACCGTGAAGAGCAATGAAAGAAAAGAATTCAATTCAATAAACGTCAGAGGTACCGGCCATTTTTGCTCCAAATTTGACGATCCAATTCCCTTAATTGTGTATTGTCGTCTCGACATATTGTTTGCATGTTCACTTCTGATGCGCTACCCTAATTTAGGTAATTCGTCGGCCATCAACGTTCCGGACTCGTATCCTGACATGTGGTCGATCCTTTTACAACTTCTAATCCATCAAGGTAGTTATATCCAAGTGACACATCGCGTGGTGATGGGGCCTATGCATTTGCATCCACTCTGGTCCTATTTCCTCACTCGCTCACACTCTAGTCTCCGTACAGCTTCCCCACTATACCGTAATGAGGAATTTCTACATGTGAATGACAACCCGTCCAACTGCTTTCTATGACCTATAACTGTATGTAAGATTCCACACCTTATACTGTAAACGTCTGCCAGGTCCCCGCAGGTCGACGTTTCTGACCCTTCACGTACATGTGTTGTCTATTCCAGCATTTCCTGTCTTGTTTCTAATCTCCACCGCTCCCGCGGCTTTGAACCATGTCTCCGACGATCACTGCAGAACACCGAGCGCTCCTCCAATACAGCACCCATTTATTTTCTTGCACATTGTTAAGCAGACCAGGTGCCAAACTGCGCACTGTGACACTTATCTTGACACTTTCCTACGGCCCGTAAAGGGCAGCCTGTTGCTCTATTACTCAATAAAACCAAATGCTCAGAAACGTATGCTGACGGCGTATCCGATCGCTACTTTTTTCAGGATAACACGTTTCAACAACACATGGCATGATTGACCGTCATCCATGGGACGGTAGTTAATACATGTGCTTCAGGATGTCATATATCAGACGCGTGAATATGGAATACGATACTCGATCAATGAAGCAAACACCGCTCAATTCCGGGTTGACTGAAAACCAATTGAAAAGCTGGTATGATTGCATGATCTTCTAGGATGATAATAATAATAATAAAGGCGCTAGAGCCTACTATCCAATTAAAGACCATCACATCAAAATGAGGCTGAATACCGATCTTGGTCTCAAAATAAGGTACCGAGAAACTGAAGTCGAAGGTGCTGTTACTGCGCCTCCAAGTCTCCGCACCAGTCATGACGTGGAATGACAGTTGCCAAAGAACAGCACCGAATGGCCAGGTCGTTAAAGATTCTCAGGCAAGGGACAGTGTTGTACCCTCCCTTCTCATAGATATACAGATCACGTACAATTAACAGTCATTCCTATGCTCCTATTGCCCACACTGTCACTTAGAGTCCGCTCAAAAAGACTCGGCGTTCCGCAGAGGTTCTGTCTCCCAGGCTCTCAACATTGATCGATTGGAAGATCGAGTATTATTAGACACTTGATCAACAACAAAGACTCACGTCGAACACAAAGTTGTGTAAGTTTGAGATCCCGGCGATGACAACGGCGTGGGGGACGGGGATACGAAAGAAGGTTGCGCCCGTCGAAGCGGTTTGATGGTCTTTGGGTGTAAACACATGACAATTCAAACGGTTTTCGTGATAGGGATGCAATTGGCTTCATCCTGCGTCCACAAAAACCTACAACAATTTCAAATGTGTGCACACACCGGCATAGTTCTCTTTGATGGGTCCTGGACAAGCCGGAAATACTATTTACATAAGCGTCGGACGTCAACGCTCGGAGTCTGGAAGAGTTCTGAAAAGATCATATGTGCACACTTTCTGTCACACGATATGAGATGATAGAAGACAGTAGTGACTGCAGATCATTCTTTACCTGGAGGCTTTCCCTACGCCCTCCGTAAAAATGATGCGTAGAACCGTCACCATTTGCGCTGGGTCTGGGAGAGCTGATGGTGTCTTTCACACCAACACTAATATCTATCTGTAACTCCGCGGTCACGTCAGCGTCGTCGGGGGTGAAAGATGGGTCCTGGCGATCCGACAGGAACAGTCCCCTTCTCGATTCGCCAAGACATCGTATACGGACGACGAGGAGGTTCCAGAAATTCGTCATCACTGAATTTTATGGTTGCCATTGCCGTCACTAATGACTGACAACGTCGAATATGAAGTAGTAAATTGGAAATTTTCGACAGGGGTATTGGATAGAGGTCACGGATAAGGCAGGACAGTTTGAAGTGTCAAGTCCATTACTTGGGACACTGATCCGGAAGCAGATTGCACCGTCAAGCGGCGGTGACCGGATGACTACCTGATACATCTTGATTCTGGACAACAATGTCAAATGGCTGACTATGTGGTCACATCTAACGAAATGTCCTCTTCGCGTTTGCGACGGAGCACTTCAGAATAATATGAGTGAACCTTGCCTCGTGTCTAAGATGCACTGCTTTTTCTGTGTAACATCATCATTTGAGTTTGCATGGAGAGGAACGTATCTTGAAGTAAGTACTGTCACAGTATTACATACCTTAGTGATTGCTAGGGAAGATCCCTGAGACAACTCAACTATGTATAAGCGCTGAACAAAAGGGAGGATGTTACTGCATGTTCGCCACAATGGTTTAAGCAGAGTTGATATTAGTGACGGTGCCTCTAGCGGAGTTCAAAACTTAACTGGAGCCTTAATCCGTCTTTCACCTCTTCCTATATCAGGTTTAAATTTGAGTACTAGGTATTTTGCGACTCGCCGAGCTTCAGAACTCAAATTTCAAACTTTGTTGCTCAGAAGCGGGCTTATAAGATATCATGATGCTCGTGTGTCAGGCGACCTCTAGTAGCGTTTAATATTTCTTTATCTTATCTCGTACTTACTCACGGGTTATCAGATTTTATATCGAGTCCGTCCGACATCGGAAACTCTCAGGTATCCTGGTTTGATCCTCGTTGGCTTTTATGTTCTACCGCCATACAAGGCTTCTCATACACCACTATCTCAGCATTTGCCCGCAGAATGTGACAATTGCAACAAGAATCAGCGGTATATCTGCCAATTGACTTGACATCTGGTGGGAGTACTTTTAAACATCCGCTTGAAACTTACACCATCGGTTCCTTGCTTTTGATTTTCCTCAGAACTGTTAGCATCACTTGCGAGTTCCTGTGCTAAAAGTGCCATACCGCCCACCTTTCCAAGGCCAGGCTCGCATGAAGTGCCTTGACTCCTGGTGCATGAATAGACCATAGCTATCCCTGCCGTCCTTGACATCAAGTTCAAAAACGAGAAGTTCAACCTTTGGTCTCTTTCCTTCGACTGATATCGAAGTCATTTTATCTCAGCGACTCTTGAGGTCACTGCCGCGATACTTCATGCACCGTTCATTTTGGAAAGTCGTTACCAGACTTATCAGAAGGATACACTCATGTTTTGCAGGGCCACGCACGTCAACGGCATCTATGCTGTCCTTCGTCGAACACTTCTTTTAATGGAAATGGGTCCCTCCGAACAAACGGCATCCATGTCAGTCGCCGCACTGTCTCAATTCACAATCGCAAATCTCCGTCGACATCGCAGTATTCCCAGAGAATAATATGGGGTCCTGGTTTGACGCTCTCACTCGAGCATTTGACCCGCTTCCCTCGCCCAGCAATTCCTTCACTGTTAACCACACTTACTTCAGTCAGGAATCTTCCTCATTTCGAAGAGTAGCATGTTTGTTTAACCGCATTTCTCTGCTTCGCTGCAGATTCATTTGACCGAGAGGGTACGCCTTCTTAAGTCTAAAAGTATCGAAGTTACGTAGCCGAGGATTTCAACATGTGCTTCGTACCATCTGGTGAGAGAACAAATAATATCCGTGTATGTGCTTCACCATGCCACTGCGTTCTAACTACTAGAACGAACTAGCCGTTCGCCCGAGTCACTCGGATGGACTTACTTACGAGATCATGACGTTTGATTCGAGCAGCTGGCTAGTGCTCATGCAGGCTCCCAGCATGGGTTTTTGTTACGTCGCGATCGCCCACAAAAAGCTAGTCAAATGAATGTCGTATCGGGGTTTTTCGGTTCCTTGCATCCACGTCACAATTCGTCTAGGGAAAGATGCCGTCGCGAGTACTCATCGCATGGGCAGCTTTTATCGCGAAGCTTATTTTCCAAGCTCACACTCCACATTCCACATGACTCACACCCTCCTCCTCATTTTTATCACTACGCGGAAGGCATGATCGACGGTACTCGACCCAGATGCTATCGCCTTCCGTAAGGTGAGGTTGCTATGGACTACGATACGGCAAGAGACAGTCTACTGGCGATATTTGACGTTACACGGACGTGCCTTCCGAATTCACTCTCGGTCACCCGCTGGGACAATGGGACTGCTATACCATTACTACAGGCGAGGATACTCTAGACGATGAGGACGTGATTGTTTGTGCCGCTCTCTGGTGCAGCCGCAGGGTGCCTTATTGACCTCCGACGGATTCGTTCCCCCCATCTTTACTGTGAAAACTGAACTGGACTGTCGAGTTCTCAGTGAAAGGGGCTATTTTTGAGTTCTCTTACGAAACAACACAATCTTGACAGTGAGACTCTGAAGTTAATTATCAAACTCAATGGCTTCTAGTGAGCAATGGTACGTCGTTTTCACAGGAGAGCGTGTGCAATTTAAGTCATTGACAATTTTGTAGAGGAAGCCACCGATCAAGGGTGGTCCCCCGTTCCCAGAAGAGCGGCATATTATGCAATATTGGAGAATTATTATTATTTGGTACAGGATATAATTATAGGACCTGTTCTAGTCTTCAACCTCAGGAGGACCTGAAATCCTCGACAATGACCTGTGGGAGGTAACCCGATGACTTGACAGGGGGTGTACTACTACACAGGCACGGTAGAGTTATATCTGTATATTGCCTTGTGGCGCAGGGAATCTGATAACACTTGAAGACATTGTAATAGAGATTGACGCCAGACGCGATAAAACATTGCATGCAACTAATATCTTTGACAGTTCATGTAGTACTAGACTCATTCTGTTGAGGGATTAACTGTTGGCTGGCTTCATCCTCACTCCCCGATGAGTTCGGGAAAAGCTCTAATTGTCTCGTGATAACATTGAAGTATAGAATGATGCCTCCAAACGCGACCTTGGAATGTTGGGAGCGCTGTGCAGTTATTGATCCCCGTCCTTCAACCGATTATCCTGATATTTTTCAGATACAATGAACAGACCATTATACCTAATGTCGCCGAACAATTTAATGACCATCTGCCCACGCGATGCAATGTGTATGAGACGCACTCCTTTCTTGCGCATCCGAGTCGGCATCTTGATAATTGCGACAGGCCGGCGAGCCCGGGCGACCCTACTTCCGTCTCGTGGGAATCCTGTGCCCCACACCAACAAGTCTCCAATATCGGGTGCAGTTTGAGTTCAGGCGAGTTTGCAGTGCACCCCTTTTTCCATTCCATTGACCGTTTCCTGTGATCATCCATGGGTAGTTCAACCGAATATTCCTCAGTATTAACTATTGAATGATCTTACATATATTTTTCAGCTTCGGAGGAACAAATCGTTCTAGATGACGCGCACCTCCCTGGCGAGGACGCGAAAAATGCCTTTGATGAAGTAGCCGAAACAATCAAAGAGTCGATCAAGAAGTCGCGGCGCTCTTGGAAAATTCACCATGAGTCCTCAATGTGGGCTAGAGCAGCGGGGTTGAGCGATGATGAGCTCACGAGCTTCTCTCGAGATGATCTCGTACAAGTCCGAAATGGACAGGCGAGCTACGGACACGTTATCTTTGGGAAGCTGAGGCTTCCTGCTGTTAATGATAAGTTGGGCGAGGGATATATTCACGTCAGGTGCGGTTCTTCTATTCGAATTTCTACTGCGAGGTCTTGGGGTTCGCGTTGTATTGACTCATGATTTCCGTTGTGGCAGGATCCACCATGAGGTGAGTGTTTCATTCCGTTCGCTTGATTCATTACTTTAATGTTAATCGTCAGGGAGTTTCCGGATGGAAACTACATGCCATCCACCACCTCACAGCATCCTTTGACGAGGATGGCCATCCCCATTCGTGGCGTGCTATCCATCCTAATGACTATCCCTTAGAGTTCTTTGAATATCATTCCGAGCTTCACGAAGCACCACAACGTTCCTCCCATCGGTGAATTTCGGAATTATCAGGGAAAGAAAGAAGTGTGGTGATTATTTTGTACGATACATATGTCGTTGTGACGTCCGCGGAGCGTGTTTTGTACATCTCCCTGCAATAGTTACGTGTGATTGATTTGATTGCTCGTCGCCCTCAGAGGGCGTTCACCTACAAGTAGGCTGGCCCTGCTGTCTTATCGCCGAATAGGTAAAGTACCTACTATAGACGGCCACTGTCACATTAATATCTGCCTGGTACTATGATGGATGAAGCAAGATGACGAGACACGTCTAACCTAAGGTTAACGGCTCGAGAAGATTCAGTCTGATGAAAAAAAATGCACTGGGTCCGCAGCATCTAGCGCCTGTTGATGCTCAAAGCAAGTCTATAGGGTATGGTTTTATACTAGTACACAAGAAGACAGAGGACCGGGATTGTTCATAGTTAAGCAAATGCCGCTGCACTCCCAAACCAACAAGACATAAGCACATACTCGGGCACGCAACAAAGGGACTATATGTACAAAAGTAATATGAACAAGACAGAAAGAAAGAGACACATAGGCATAAGAAGCATTGACCAAACTAGTTAGCACAGCAAACACGTGGGCGTCCATGGGCGATAGTAGTCAAAAAGCATATACTGAAGGCCAGGATTCGTTGTGCGATGCTGATAGACCTGTTGCAAAATACGGCTGATTCCCATGATGACTCTGACACACGTCGTTCGACATCGAGTACATGAACGGAATCGGTACCGGCTGCAACATCTTATCGTTCTGCGCGCTCGAAAAAGCGGCGAACTGACAGGATGGCGGCGGCGGCGTCGACATGTCCATAAAACTTGACATTTGAATAGTGCGATCCCCAAGTGAAGACTCTGTGGGCGTAGGCGAGTAGCTGAGACCAGGCGTCGGTGGACTGATCTCGGAGTTGTCCGGACTGTTATCCATTCCTAGACTCGATTCGGTTGGCATCCACCGCGAAGTCTCAACGACAGACGAAATCGTCGCCGAACATGAGTCCTCGCGATAGAAGGTGTGTGCGGGTAACGTGGCGTGCCGCCTGAGACCCACACGAGACCTTGCCACCAGAGGTGAGCCTACCGATATCGGTGAAGTAACTGGACTAGTCTCCATAACAGAGTGCGTTCTCGGACTGCTCCTAAGCAAAATATTACTTTCGCTCTTGCACTTTGTGAGGGCGCGTCCGGTAGCAACCGGCGCCGCGGGCAACTTGCCAACCCAGAGGCGCCACTCAAGCGCCTCACCCAGAGCACGTTCGCAACGGCCAATCTCCCGTGGCGGAAGGCCGGAAAGTTTAGCCCATGCACGATTCGAGTAACAGCGATCTTGCATGAATTTCGACGCAAGAATCAGTGAAGCGAGGAAAGTGCGGCGAGGACACAAAAGCGGCGAGGGAAGTGGGGGAAGCGGCGTTAAACACCCACTACTCTGCTTAGGCTTGTGCAGAGACACCTTGTCTGCGTCGAGTGCCGGATCTGCAAATACAGAATCGACCTCAAGTGTGATAGGATTAATGCGGATAGTATCCAGCAAGCCATTGCCTGCCGACGTTTCCGACGAAGAGGTAGGACCATCAAGGCCAGCGCAAAATGCGCTGACCTCACCTTGGACAATACGTTCACCCGATTCCTTTTCGCAAGTGGATCCAGGGCAACCCTTCTCCTTCGAGACCAGCTCTGGGACCTTGGCGCGAATAGCTTCCAGGTAACAAAGGGCTGTCTGTAGAACGCTGCCTGACGTGCGAGAACGACGGAGGACCTCGTGAACAAACCCTTTCATGGGCGCAACATCGCAACGCGGGGCCTGATCGCTCGAACCGGGCGTCAGGGTTATCTTGGGCGAATGAAGGGAGTACGAATCGGGAATGCATGGGGCGGGCGTGGGAGATGGCTGTGTCGTTGGAGATATGGGAGAGGGGAGCTGAGTATTACGCCCGTGGAGTGAAATACTTGGGAGAGATGCAATAATGGAGTCGGTAGAAGCAGTAGCCACAGTTGGACGAGACGATGTTAAGAAGACAAAAGGGATATCCTGGGGGTTCCATATGTCGCATATAGATCCTACAGCTTGATCTAACGAATGATAAAGATCCCGAATTTGAGATTAGAGGCCAAAAATGGCTAGTGAAGCTTGAACTTACCGACTAAACCAGTTACATATTTCGATTTCTGGGAGTCGCGGAGCTGACATTCTCGGGGATGAAATTGAAGATTTCGCTGCCGGTCTGGTTCATAGACTGATGCTGATAGAGGGGAAGGTGAAATGGATGATACAGATGAGACTGGAGTAATGAGATATGAAGGAGAGGGGCGTGAGGAAACTGAGGAAAGGGTGGCATAATAGGGCTGCCAGCGAACCCGAGTGTGCGAATGTGACGTTGTTGGTGGCCCCCGATGGGCCAACGAGTGAGCAGCGGCGCGAACCATAGAGATTTGCAGATTGAAAAAAAATACGGAGCGGTGAGACGAGAGTAAATATTAAGACGAGATAGGACGAGCTTGAGCGGATTATCTAGAAAGAAGACTTGACGACGGCATTAATGGAGTTTACTTTGGTTACTTTGGAGCTGAAGGTAGTGAATTTGTAGGTTTGTTTGAAGATGGGTTCTGATATCGAGCTGGACAAACGGGGAATTACTGGGGAGCACATCGTGACTCCTTTGAGGACTGTCCAAAGTCTGAGACTTTAGACTATCCTAATAGTTATATAGCCTTGTCGAAAAGGCTATAGTAACAGAGAATGAGCTGAACAGATGAGGATATGGAAGGTAGATAGAGGACTTGTAAGGCAGTAACAGTACCTGGCAGTACTCAGACTCAGAGAGGGATGAGCTGGGCGTTATAACTGAACGGAGTCACTGGGTCATACAGGACCCTGATCACCCATAATCTGGGGTCCTTAGTCATCCCGACCGTCTCCATTCCGAGTCCACGACTCATTCTGACTCACCGCCTTCCAAGGTTTCAAAGTTACACCGAATATCGGACGACAATGCTGTTGTTCACAAGTATCCGCTAAAATCTTATTGAAAATATTCCAGTACAGCTTGCTTCAGTGCTCTACCGGCTCCAACGTTACCTGTCCTAGTCTCTAGAAGATTGAACGTGGATCTCTCACACCATGGCCACCTGTGTGCACCACGATACTCTTCCTAGGTATTTTTTCCACGGTCCTCTTTATGGTCTCACTTTCCCGCCCTTCTTCATCGTCGGGATTGCGCCATCCCAATGGAGTCACATCGGGGCAGTGGCAGTGTCCCTCATACTGCCAATACTGCGCACAGGGAGTACTGCCTGTAGCTACTAGCTCCTTGGGTGTAAGTGAATTTACAATAATTCATGCACTGCACTGTCAAATTTGTTGTTCTTCCTCAGTCCCGCAAACAATGCCTTGTCTTCCCACTCCGCCCGTTTTGTTATGCCACGTCAAACAATTCACACTCAACTGATCCATCACAGGGTTATTCTTGATAAGATGAAACGCCTGTTCGTCTCGTTATTATTCTATCGGATCTCGAGCAACGCAGCTACCTCCTATACTCCCCTATGTGTCTTCTTGTCCATTCTTAATTCTGATCTTAACTTGAAGGAGCAATCATCCTCCTTGACTCTAAGACCGCGAAAGTATGACTCCTGCAACTGTGGCCTGATGGTCCGTGACGTCCGATTGGGGAAGTCTTCCAAGAAACCCGTCAGTCTCATACAGCCAGCTCGTGTTCCTCGAAATTGTCCACATCACCCTTCCATGAATGCCCATTTACCGTTCGGAGGTCTAAGTAGATCTCGACGTAATCCTTGATTCGTCCGCCATGTGTTTTCTGACTCAAGCAACTTATCGTCAACATTCAAATTGGTACATCCATCACCAGTCCTAGTCACGCCGGTAGTGTTGTTTTACACGTGGAGGGGGCGTGCCAATATTCAGTGCATCATTTTCCGATTATATCGTAATCAACGTCTTGTCCCGGGACTATCGCAGTGTTCCATTATCCTGTACATAGTGTAGGGCTTCAAGTACGCGCGGTCTTAGTTGATAGCTGTATGTATACGTGATAGGACCTTCTATAGGTAGACAATTCCTATTGTTGCACATCCCTTGCAATTAATCAAACAGGTACTACATATTCTAATATGTAGAACGTTACCTCAGAGGCGAGTTGACACCTCACGACATCATATTCACACCTCACCGCTCTCGACCGACGGAGAGCGCAGTCTCTCATCTTCGCGGAAAGTGCGTCTATAACGGCCGGCGAGAACGTCGGACGAACGGTGTGTTCCCTCGCGTCGGGGCATTCACAATCCCAGACGTGTGGCAGGTCCTTTAGGCTTCATACAATTGCCCTACATAGAATACACTACTGGACATAGATCGGAACCGATTTTTTTTACCTCGAACTGGATGATCCGGAATTCGAGGATATTCAGAGCTTGTGCAGATCTAAACTTGTCTCGTTGAGTCAATCGTTTACCCAACGAATTCGAACCTGGAAAAAATTATGTGTTCAGAGATCCGCCGAGGGCCTGGTTGTTAAGAGCAAGACTTGACGTTGACCTACGCCTGTCAATTGTAATACGTATGTAGTATACGTACGAGAAACATCTCTGAAGATCAGATGACTTTCTGGCGCCAGATCTTGAATTTCAATCGTTGGCGCTCAGCAACTGCTATTGTTTAGCAAAGGTGTTGTCACTTGCCTTGGTTAGCGTCTACTTCATCTGCTCTTGGCGCTGACCATTTTAATATTCCTCAGCTATGGTGTTGCGTTCGAATTTCCGTCAAACCTCTGCCCCCGAAGTTAAAAGTTCCTTGAAATAGCAGCCGCTGATGCTACATACCTAAATAACGTGTCAGGATCTTTCCGAGGCTCCGACAGCTGATGCAGACACGGTCTGGAGCATTTGCACCACCCGTGTCAAAAGCGGATAAAATGTGGTGCACTCGAGGATCATGACTCATCGAACACCAGAAAATAAATCAGCTCGGGAGCCGTCCGGGCTCAGCGGGCTACGGAATGACTTGAACTTGCCCGTCAACTAAAGGTAGTCTAATGAGAATAGGAACATCACTTGTGCGGTACCCGGTGCCGCGTGAGCCCGCATGGAAGACAGTAGGAACGCACCTGTTGCAAACCAGAAACTCTCAGAGTCATAACCAAGGAGCACGGACATGCATGTCCGATTCAAGAACGTGAGATCTCTCACGCACACTAGCAGAAGATCGCCGGAGGACGTAGAAGCAGCGGAAAACTGTCTGTGTGGCATGCAGATAGGAAATAGGGTGCATGCGCCCGATGCAACCAATCACTAGTAACTACTAGTACCTAGGTCCCAAGATGAGTCAGATTGGCTCGGATCCGACCTGAGCGAGGAAAAAATAGACTGGCACTGATGGTTGCACGGAAAGATAAGCAATACACAGTCACGGTGGCAGCTCACCATTTGTAGCCTTCCGAACAAACAACTGTCAGAACGTCGAATTTGTTGGCAAGTAGAAACAGGTAAGAACGCGGTACGCGCTGTGGTGTATTGCCTCAAAAACGCTCGAGTTGATACTATGCCGACGACCGTATCTAAGAAGCGTCCAGAGAACTTGAGCCTGAGAAGGATTTGCCATGATGTGCATGATAAATAGCATCGTGACGACTAGCACAAAAGTCGGGTCGGGGCTGTGGCCGTGGCGAGTTATAATCGAATGTTGGATACCCGCTACGCGGCCACTCTTACTGAATATCACGACAAAAATTTCTCTTGCCAAAGCAACCAAGTCATGGCTGTCTACATAGTCGCCAGTGATTGTCCATAACGGCACCATATTCCAGCTTAACAGTTTCGACGCATCTTGCATGGGCCAGGCCCTGCATCCATTGCAGCACAACATGTCATGATGGATGGTCTAATTTGCAACTAGGCGGAGCGCATTGTTATCATCTTGAGACTGATACCAACCTGTCTCCGACTTCAAGCTTGAGATGTGAGTTCTTGTTGGAACCGGGAGGAGTCATGTCGGGCTGACACGAACACTGTAGATGCAGAGCCGTCAATTTTCACTCAAAAACGACGACGACGACGCCCGCCCCCACCCGAGCAACATTGTAGACCTACGCCAGAAGCACGCTAGCATTTCACTTGTCGCGCTGTATGTAATAATACTATGTGACCCGATGGTCCCAACAACGCAGTTACATATTTTGCCCCGAAGTTGGCTTAATTGTCCTTTCTCTTCACTCAACTTCTTGGTTCTACCCCCGTCTCTGCCTATCGTCCAACCACTCTGTTCGTTTGTTGTTATCTTCTTGCTGTGATGAAGTTCAATGTGTCGCTTCTTGCTGTACTCACTGCTGTCGCGGTCGTCCAAGCTGGACACAGCTTTGAAAAGCTTCCTGCGCGGCGGGCTGCGCTGGGTAAACATGCTGCCCTTTCTCCCCGAAACAAGGGTGGCGATAGCACACCAAAGCTGCGGAGGACTTGCAAACCGAGACCGGTTAGTCGTGTTTCAAATTCCAATGCTAGTCGCAAAGAAGCTTACTGTGAATTCTATGCTCCTGTGTGTGTGATTGTGCACTGGTGACTGTAGGTCAGCTCGGGAGGTCCTGTACCATCAGCATCAGCATCGTTTACAGGTTCACCCTTAGCTTCAGCTTCTGAATCGACTACAGGATTAACTGCAACATCAACCCTGAGTGTGCCTACAGCATCGTCACAAACTCCAACTCTGCCTGCGGCATCGTCACCAGATTCAGCTTCGACTACAGCACCAACTACAGCATCAACCACGGTTCTGCCTTCTGCATCGTCACCAACACCAACACTCCCTACACCTTCACCAGCTCCTCAGCCCCCGATATCAGACAATGGACCTAGTAACAACTCTGGAGGTGGGCCGATTAATGGACTCGTCAACGTCATTTCCTCCAAAGGTTGTGGATCTAGCAGTGCAACCAGTGCGACTTTTCCGTATTGCAAGCGAAGGGAGTATATTGCTGATGCACATGTATCTTTACCAGAGGAAATCACTGCATTGAGCGGTCCCAATGGCCATATCGATTTCCTGAACTGCGGCATCAACGGGAGCGGATGGAACCCACCCTTGATCAAAATTGAGGGTATCGTCACTGTTGACCTGTCAGCAGTCGCGTACCAAAATGGTTCGACGTTCGTAAACTGCCAGGACTTTGTCTCAACATTTGAGAAATATGGCAGCCAGTATGGAAGTCGGTGTCATTCTCCAAGTCTTGCCACGTTTCTATCTGACGTTGGGTGACAGTTCCTGTCATTCTCCTCGCGTCTTTTGCCATGCAGGAGAGTTCATGTAACCCGAGCATCGTTGGTGGAGCTGGTGAGCAAGGTTTGATGCAGCTCACTAGCGACAAATGCGTTGGTGCTCCCAATGGTGATTGCCAGGACGTTGTAAGCCATGTCGTTATCGTATCGGACATATTATCTTGATCGTATCCATATTCTTCCCCAGGATTTCAATATCGGTGCTGGCGCCAAATTCTTCTCGCAGCTGCTCGATGAAAATGATGGCAACCTTCTCTCCTCCATTGGTCATTATAATGGCTGGTTCAGGGAATGACTTATGTATTTATCTGTTGCCTACTTCAGAAATCCCGGTGCTGATGGTATATGTACAGGCGGATGCAACTGCTGCTGCCCATGGCGGTGACTGCAGGGAGCAGAACAACCTCGACTAGTAAGCCTTTATGAATCTCGGGGTTGTGCGATTTAATCTTACATTTCACAATAGTTTGCACCAGTTCTTGAATGGCTGGTGCCAGAACATCAATGCCTATCAGCACGACCCTCTTCTTGGCAAATACTTTAACCTGAATGTCTGCAACTAAGCAACGTCCTATCGCGACTATTGTTGTTTTCGCTGGTACATTATCATGGAAACATTTATTAATATCAAGCAAGAGTTTAGAATGATCCTATACCACTTATCACCACATACACTCATACCCACTTTATGGTGATGCTGTCGCCGCTCCCCGTAATTTCACTTATTTTTCTGGTTAATATGAAGGTTTTTTGTTCGCGAATCTCTCGACTCAAGATTATACATCTGATAAGTAGTTAATGTAAAGCCACCGATGTGAATTTCCTTTCTCGGAAAATTTCAGTCGAAGGTGATTAATGAACTGGTACTTGCAGATCGCGACGCACACTTCTTAGCTAGTGGGCGTCTTTCATAACATGGATGGTTCATCGTCAACATCATCTTCTGCCCCTCCTTCTAGGGCATCGACTGCGCCATCATCTCTTCCCTCTCCGGAGATCCAAACCTTGACTCTAGGAGGTGTGACCGACGAGGATCGGGCGGAGGCTGCTAAGATCAAGACAAAGGCAAATCAGGCATTTGCAAGTGCGTGTTGAACATTGGCATTGCATTCGTGATGATGTTTAAGTTAGGGCGATCTGGCCAACAGGTCATAACTTCGTGGAGGCCGTTAGACTCTACACTCAAGCCATAGAGGTGAACCCGTTAGATGCAACGTATTGGTGCAATCGCGCTGCAGCTCGGACAAAATTAGAAGAATATGGGTTTGCACTTTCAGATGCTTGTAAGTTGCTGGATATGTCAGTCAAGGTGTTTTGTCATCTCACGCGACTATAGCAAAGGCTATCGAAGTCGATCCTAAATATGCCAAGGCCTTTTATCGGTATGTGACAGGTTGTGGGTACAAATGTCCGAAGCTAAGTGCTCGTATCAGTCGTGCGACATGCTATCTACAGATTGCAAAACCTCAGCTAGCGGTGGCGGATTTCAAGAAGGTCGTCGCGCTAGAGCCTAGAAACACAGTTGTTCAGTCACAACTCACAGCTACCCAAAAGCTCGTGCGCAGGATAGAATTTGAGAAGGTACGTTTTACGCTTCAGGTCAATGTCGCAGCTAATCTTCTTGGTAGGCGATTGAAGTAGAAGGGGAGAAAAATCCAGTAGAAAGATGTCACGAGATCATCGCGGAAGGTCAGTTGTCTGAATTTCCATAGATTCTGTGTTTTCATTGTTTTCAGGGGGCTGTGAGGTCGAAAAAGCCTATGCTGGTCCACAATTGAGTACTGGGGATGATGGGAAATATGTGATGACGGAAGAGTTTATCAAAGGAATGATCGAGTGGTTCAAGGCAGGCAAAAATCTTCCAAGGCGGTACGCGTGGGAGATTATTCTTGGAGCATGCTCGCATTTTGTAAAAGAAGAAAGTCTAGTAAACTTGGACCTACAAGATGGCGTGACATGCGACGTCATTGGAGATGTTCACGGTCAGTCTAAGCGCTGCAGTGCTTGATATAGGGTCGTGCTTACCGTGTTTATTCTAGGACAATTCTACGATTTATTGAATCTATACTCATTGACGGGTACTCCTACCGAGAAGCATTGTCTTCTTATGAATGGCGATCTTGTTGATCGGGGATCGTGGTCCATTGAGGTTATTCTTACCGCCTTCGCCTACAAATGTGAGTACATGACCTATACAAAGGGCTTTAGTACTGAAATCAAGCAAAGGGTTATACCCCACACGCATGTTCATTAATAGAGGTAATCACGAAGCAAAAGACATGAACCGAACGTATGGCTTTGAAGGCGAAGCAAAGCACAAACACGGAGAGCAAACATATAAAGTTCATTCCCTCCATTCTTTCTCTATTTAAAGCGCTTACGGCTTCTTTGACAGTTATTCGCTCACGTTTTCACCACTTGTAAGTATCTATGGATCTGCTAAGTTCAGCTGATTCATCGTTGGTTCTTCAGTACCATTAGCAACACTTGTGAGCGCCACGAAAGCACTCACCGAAACAAGCACTACAACAATCCTGTCACCACAAGGGCTCAAGAGATACTTTGTTGTGCATGGCGGGCTATTCAGCAAAGACGGTATCACCCTAGATGACGTTCGCAAAATTCCTCGAATCGGACGGCAGCCAGGTCAAGATGGTTTGATGTGTGCGTGCCCTCCCGCTCTTACAACCAGTTATAACTGACACACTTCCAGCCGATGTGTGCATTTATGCTGTACTCATGCGTACAGGCACTTATTTTCATTTTAGCTACTCTGGACTGATCCTCAAACACTTCCTGGTCGCGGCCCGAGCAAACGCGTATGTGTTAGTTAGCTGCCCAATCGCTTTGAGGCTCACAACCCCTCCTTCCAACCCCTCCTTCCAGGGTGTCGGAATTGCTTTCGGTCCTGACGTCACGAAGAGGTGGTGTTTACTGAATGGCGTTACTTCTATCATTCGGAGCCATGAAGTTCGTCAGGGTAAGTGTTTTTCATCGCTTTGCTAAGGAACCTGACTCCAATTTGGGTCTGCAGATGGGTATGCCGTAGAACATGATGGTCTCTGCACAACCGTCTTTTCAGCCCCAAATTATGTGGATCAAGTGGGAAACAAGGGAGCGTTTGTATGTCTATATACTGTTCATCCAAGGCTTTAAATACTCACACCTTGCTAGATACGAATAAATGCAGAAGGAGACCAAAAGTACTTCCAATTCGAAGCGACACCTCATCCGCCAATGAAGCCGATGGCATATGCGCAAGGAGGTCTGGCGAGCTTGATGATGTAGATTCTCATGACAAATCTTATGTAGGTGGAGTCACGATATAATGGGTGCGGGCGCGTGGGAGTCTTGCTACTTGTAGTTACCAGTCGCCTGTTTGGACGCTTAACACAAGCTTAACATATTCAAAACTCTTCCACTTGACTTTGAAATTTCTGAACTGCTATGGACAAGACGAAATCAAGACTGGCCGCGTTCTTTGATGACGACGAAGATCCTTCGTTCCCAGTGCGACGAATAGACATTATTTATGTCCTTGAAACACTTACCAATCGCTTCGTACATTAGCAAAAGACCCTGGATGACACGAAGTTATCACAGTACGCGCAAGGTACTGTTCGCAAGTCCCGCCGAGAAAAGGAGAAGGAAGCTGCAGAGGCAAAAAAACGAGAGGAGGAAGAGAGTGCTGCTAAGGCATATGCTGATTTCATTGACGCGTTTGAGGGGGAAAGTGTGGACAAGCAGAAGGCTGGCTCGGGATTTGTTCGTGCATCGGACGGCGCGAAAGTGTCTTATCAACCGCCAGTCAAAGGTCCTGCGGAGTCTTCGTCACGCACCAGGCCAGTTCGGTCTCATGAAGATGAAGTATGTGAACCGCTTCATGCGAACAACATCTACTTGTGCTCATATTCTTGACCAGTCCACCACATCAGGTAATGCACCGAAGCCGAAAGGCAAACGAGCCATGGATTCATTTCTCGAAGAGATCAAGAGGTAGCTGAGTTCATACTGTTATATGCGTCATTTCATCATCTCTTCAGGGAGCAGGCAATGCGAGAGGCCAGGTATTCCCGTTCTTCCCATGGGCGGTCAGTGACTGCATTAGCAGGTGGGGTTTCGTTTACTTTTATCGCTATCAAGCTCGAATGTATTGCATTGCAGCATACGAAGGGCAGAGTGGTAGCAAGGACCGCGGTGATCCTGAGGTGAGTGTGAACACCTTTTCGTTTCTTCGTTTTCGGATGATTTTTTTCCGCAGACTTCCAACCTTTTTGTGGCCAATTTACCCTCCAATGTCACCGAACAATCTCTTGGGACCTTTTTTGCCCGTCACGGTCCTGTTGGCTCCGTAAAAATCATGTGGCCACGAGGGGATGTTGTTGCCGGTCCGGGTGGTGATATGACTGCTTCGCGCCGCAACAGAAATTCCGGGTTGAGTGGGTTCGTATCCTTTATGAAGCGTAAAGATGCAGAAGCTGCTCTGAGGGAAGTTGATGGCCTTGATTGGGGGGGTTCGATTCTTCGTGTGGGATGGAGCAAAGCTGTGCCTATGGCTGCAAAAGCTCTCTACGGTAGAGGTCACAGCAATTGCCTTAAGCATTTTTTTCACACACTTTACAGTACCAAGCAGGGCATCTAGGTCAAGATCGAGATCACGAGGACACGAGCGTAGGGGCAGGAGCAAGTCACATTCGCCAAGGCGCCAGTCCCGGTCTCGCTCCACGGGCCGCTATCGGTCCTCTAGACGTTCCCGCAGTCGTTCCCTGAACGATAGTCGCTCACCTCGGCGGCGACGGCGCTCGTACAGTCGTTCACGCTATGACAGCCGCAGTCCATACAGACGGTCACCTAGTCCTTCGAGGAGGCACGATTCGGAAGACGAGGCTGCTGCGGTCACCGACACGTTCATTCGTGCTGTGGCCGCCGAGGTCAAAGGCCATGGGTCTGAGTACGAAGATAATCTCCGTGAATGGGAAAGGAACAATCCCAGATACTCTTTCATGACACAGCGCAAGGTATGTCAAGCTATCTCCTTAGTGAGGATGTTGACAGACTGCGAAAAGCACCGACGGCATGCATTCTACAAAGGTCTAGTCGAGCGAGACGATTTTACGGGTGCAGAATTTGACGACGAGGTGTGCTCATTGCTTTTGCGTAGTGAACCATGCTAAACACGTGTCAGGGATATAACTCGACCTACTCTACCGATTCTGCGGAAGAGTCGGAGCAAGAGCGAACTCGCAAAACTGTTCTAGGCAAGCTAGCTCGCAAACGGTTCGAGGCAATGCTTCGTGGTGTCTCTGGCAAGAGAGGCGAGCTCGCTCGCTGTATGACATTCAGCTTGGAACACGCGGAAGCTGCTCGTGAGGTATAATTACAATTTCCATTCAAAGAAGTGCTCTGTTCTAACCATGCTAGGTATCGGATATCATCATTTCTTCACTCTTGGTGGATGGCACACCTGTGCCACGCAAGATTGCTCGGTTGCATCTTATCTGCGACATCTTACACAACTCAGCAGCCCCAGTACCAAGCGCATGGAAGTTTCGCCAGGAATTCC